TGCGACTACACGGATTGGATAAGAATATAGATCACCAATAATTCTAAAAGTCATGAAAGTGAGATGCAGCGAAAATACAAAACCTGATTTAGTGTCGAGGGAGTGTGACCTATCGTTATTACAAATACACATTATTTATGAATGATGATTACATATTTTCAAGAGATTTATATAAAACTGTTTGTTTAATCTTTAAGCATTGTTGTTATCAGCGTTATGATATTAGTTTATGAAATAAAGAACTGTATAAATACATAACAAAAAGATACAATTATTATATTATAAGATAATGTGTCTGATCAATCAACTCCAGTCGCTTCAGAAAACCCGTCCTCGTTTTGCATAAAGTAACTTGTCTCTATTAAATAATCCTTGAATTATGATAAATTAAAGCAGCCGGCTCGCACACGGTTAGTCTGGCAGAAAGAATTATCAATCTAGAAATAGCCCCTACGTAATTATGATTACGAACTAATCACGATGATGTAAGATCCGCTCCAATGACGGTTATGTAACAGGGAAAACCCCTTCTTATTTCCCAGCTTATAATGACCCGGGGTTCAAGACATTTCGAGAGAAGGTTGACTTCTTAGTCAGCACTAATTTTTTTTTTGTCCTCGAAAATTTGAAAATCGCACCCCCCCCCCCCCTTGAGCGCCAGGGAGGGGGGGGGGGCATCTAAAAAAGGGTAAAATTAACGTGTTTTTACACGTTTTTTTTCCTCAGGGGGGTAGGGGGGCCGGATCCGCCACTGGTGAACAGGACTTTCTCTTTTTGCACACCAAAGGTTAACATTTGGGGGTGATTTTATTTCATTATTGTTTTTAAACAGTCTACACTTTTAGTAAACTTAGTAACAACACAATCACTCAGATCATAAGTGCTTATTTAGTGCGAATCCGATTTAGGTCAATCAAGATTTCTCCGCCCATGTTCAAGTGCATGCTGAATGTTTCTTTTCCATTTATTAACAAAACCATGACGAATAAGTTTGCATCAATTGGAGACACAAAATGTGAAAAGTAAACAAGTATAATTAACCAAAACAATTAGAGTAAAATATTGTCAACCGTATTATTTTTGGAAATAGTATTATTTTGCTTTAGAAAAAATATTGTTAAGCCCACATTTTAACATTTTGTTTTGTTTGGGGTTCATCTTATTTAGAGTTTGGAGGGGATTTTTTTCTTCTACCCCATTCTTTGTTATCTTTGTTCAATTGAGTGGCCTATACATGTCTTGAAAATGTGACTTATTTTCTACCGTAACGGCATAAAAACCACTTTCTTCTTTTAACGGAATTAGCTCTTTATTCTGTCATATATTTTTCATTTCATTTAAGGAATTTTCTTTGGTTGAGCACACACAATCAAATAAATCATTAATCAAGAAAAGGGTGAAATGATGCGTACGTTTTGTTTACGTTCAGTTTTTCCCCTTTAAAAAAATATCTGTTCTTTGATCGCGGGCATCTAGGGAAAAGTTAAAGCTCCTCTCAGGTGTTGGGAGCTCAAATTCTCCAAAAAAAATGATGGCAAAATTTCACTTAAATTGTAACATAATGTGAAAGACGATTTCATTTAAGACACCTCTGCAAATACCCCCCCCCCCCCCTTGAAAAAAATGTGCTTGGAGACAAATATTGATAAAAGAAGACATCATTTGGGTTTTCTGTTGTACACAGAACACTGATTTTTTTATTTTTATCAATAGGCCCTTTTCGACTTCAAACAAATTTGTTTTGAAAATCCTTGCAGAAATGTGTCTCAGTGTATTATGCTCTGGCTCCTAACCATTTGAAGCCAGAGCATATAACACTGAGTTCCCATAGGACATATATTTATTCGGATGGTCATATTTCAGCCAATACTTAACATATTAAATTGGTTTTCGACATTTGGACATTGATTTTGATGCTCTTTCAGAACATGAAGAAAAATTGAGAAATTCTAAAAATAGATTTTTATGACGTCACAGCTTCGGTACTCTATAGCGCTCCGATCTAAAAAGGAATGATAACATTATAAAATCATGATGGTATACATCTTTTTTAATTACTTTACTTTGGCGGGTGTCACTTAATATTCAAACCTGTAAGACAATTATGATTTTTAGCGGATCAAAAATGACCCTCACATTTTGTACATAACTGGAAAAACATTTCCCCCCAAAATGTGACCCCTTTGCGAAGCGCGGAGGCTTTGACGTTTCATTAAATTATTAGAGAGAGAAGACGATTCGTTGTACCGTTCTCGACTCTTAATCCTTGTCTGAATTGAGTTCCCGCCCCCCCCCCCCTTCCCGCGCGTAGTGCGGAAGCTTTCACGTTTAATTAAATTATAAGGAAAAGGGGACGATTCTTTGTACCATTCTCGACTCTTCCTTGTCTGAATTAAGTTTTACCTTGCCCGTGTGATGCGCGTAAGCCTTGACGGTTCATTAAATTATTAGAGGAAGAAGACGAATCGTTTTACCATTCTCGTCTCTTAATCCTTCTTTGAATTCAGTTTTCCCCCTTCAAAGCGAAGCGTGAAAACGTTGACGTTTCATTAAATTATTAGAGAAAGAAGATGATTCGTTGTACCGTCATCGACTCTTTATCCTTGTCTGAATTGAGTTCCCCCCCCCCTCCCGCGCGAAGCGCGGAGGCTTTGACGTTTCATTAAATTATTAGAGAGAGAAGACGATTCGTTGTACCGTTCTCGACTCTTAATCCTTGTCTGAATTGAGTTCCCGCCCCCTCCCCCTCCTGCGCGAAGCGCGGAAGCTTTGACGTTACATTAAATTATAAGGGAAAGGAGACGATTCTTTGTACCATTCTCTACTCTTAATCATTGTCTGAATTGAGTTCCCGCCCCCCCCCCCTCTTCCCGCGCGAAGCGCGGAAACGTTGACGTTTCATTAAAGTATTAGAGAAAGAAGATGATTCGTTGTACCGTCATCGACTCTTTATCCTTGTCTGAATTGAGTTCCCTCCCCCCCCCCATTCTCGCGCGAAGCGCGGAAGCTTTGACGTTTCATTAGATTATTAGAGAAAGAAGACGATTCGTTGTACCGTTCTCGACTCTTAATCCTTGTCTGAATTGAGTTCCCGCCCCCCCCCCCTCCCGAGCGAAGCGCGGAAACGTTGACGTTTCATTAAATTATTGGAGAAAGAAGATGATTCGTTTTACCATTCTCGACTCCCAATCCTTGTCTGAATTCAGTTGCCCCCCTCCCGAGCGATGCGCGGAAGCTTTGACATTTCATTAAATTATTGGAGAAAGAAGACGATTCGTTGTACCGTTCTATATTACAGCTACCATGGATAAATCACGGCCGGGAGCGTCATAATTTTGTGTTATCGGGCGAGGGCCGGGGCCGGGGCGTAGCGACCAAACGAGATTTTGCAATGTTGAATGCTGAAATTATGCATTCTAAAAAATCCCTAAGCCCGATATGTACGTTCTTTCCGCTATATTTATTTCTAGCTATATTTCTAAATTTCCTGGGAGACTTGTCCCCATATCGGGCCCAGGATCGCCGCCCCTAGCTGTCCATGATTACTACCAACATGAGTTCTAATACAATCACAAGCGAGTCGATACGAGCTGAATCCAAATGAAGGGCAAAATAAGAGTTGTCAAGCGGCCCTACCGTTAATTTAAAATTTGACTGTTGAGTATATAATTTCTATTTAAAAGACATCCAAAATGTTGTGCCCTTTTCAAATTTCTCACTAAAGAGTGATGACCGCAGGGGCTGTTCTAGTTAACGTTTAACTTTGAATCCGCGGCTCGAGATTTTATGCGGCCGGCCCGGCCCCCCTCTATTCAATAACGTTTGCCAATGAGCCTTCTGGAATGTCCCCTAATCTCCCGATTACAGTTTTCCCATATTTGTCGTTACTGTCACTTAGCGCCATTTCCTTGCCTTTCCCCCTTTCTCACCGACTTTTCTTTTCCCCACCCCCCCCCCCCCCTCACCCTCTCAGTGTTATCTATAGGGTACGCACATGTATGTTCCCTCTCTTTGAAAGCACCCCTCTGTCTCCGGTGTGTAAAGTCAGTACGGGCCGGATTTTTGTGTATTGCGGGCCGGACTTTGTTTCGTGAAAAGTAACTCTTTATCGGAAATTTAGGGAACACAAATTCGGTCCCTCCTACCCCGGAGTTAGAGGGAGGGGGGGGGGGGGGGCTTTTTATTTATCTTTTCTCTTCTATTTTCTTTTCTCTTCTTTTTTCCTTTCTCTTCTCCTTTCTTTTCTCTTCTCCTTTTTTTTCTCCTCTTCTCCTTTCTTTTTTTCTCTTCTTTTCTTCCTCTTTTTTTTCTTCCTTTTTTTTGCGCCGCCAATAGGGGGGGGGGGGGGCCGCGGCCGTTTCGGCCCCCCCCCTGGATCCGCCACTGAATTATACAACTCTATGCTTTATCCTCATCTAGATGCTGAACAGGCGTTGATGAGTAGAAGTAGAAGTAGAAGTTTGCATGAAAACAAGTACACAATGGGCCAATCCTGTTAATGGCTCATCAAGTATACGCATAAAGTAACTGCGTGTATTTTCTTTAAAACTTTGCACATACATGTGCAAATGTCGTGACGAATATAACCCCCTGGATCCGCCTCTTTAAAGAACATAATATATACTGCTTCTGCAAAACATATTAAAAAAAAGTGTAGCCCTATATACTTATGACCGATGATGGCGACAACGGTGAGCCTGATTCAATTCTTCGGCAGGATTTAAAAAAAAATCAAAAGTTTTATTTTCGATTAAAATTCCCCTTCATTTGAAGAGATCCAATCGATTGTCAAAAAATATACGTCCCATTCTTTAAAATTTCCCTGGTGTTTATATTAGATTCCACTTACATCAGACCTCCTTTCCATATTAATTCAGGCCTACCAGTACCACCGAAATAGATTCCTTTCATTATGATCGAGATTCTTCAGAAAAAATTGATTGAATGCTGTGCGCATGCGCAATACGTGTGGCTCGATCTTTTTTAGCAAACGCCGCGCCGTGAACGATCAAGGGAGTCGACCAAATTGTGCATAATCTTCTCTAGCTAAACACAAACCAGGCAAAATGGGCGAAGAAATCGGGTAAGAGTCAGAGCTGGAATGAAAGGTGTTGATGTTGTAAATGAAATTGAAATTACTGTCGTTGTCACTGACTTGTGTGAATTTAGATCGACATTTTAAATTGAACTTCCACATGCGTTCTGTGCATGCAATACCCGCACATCTCCAAAAATTACGAGTGGGACTTCAATGTCAAATTTGTACATGTGTAGTGTAGTCAGGTAAATCTGATAGTCATAGGGAGCTCCAGAACCTAAGCTACTGGACTTCAAATCCATAAAGATGTTGTTTTATATTATCAAAATGCTTCATTTGATTTTACATCTTATATTATCTTAGTTATTTAAAGAATAAATGTGCCCAAACTAGTCGCAATTTGAGCAGGAACTTGAGGAAGTGAAGAACTTCTCATTTAACAGTAGGGGCGCTGGTCCGAGAATGAGGATCGTCCTCATAAACAAGGATATCCTCATAAACGAAGACAAAATGTGTCCTCAAAAATAAGGGTCGTCTGCATTTTCGAGGACGTTTTTTTTCATCGGCGCTCTGGGGGTTTCATGTTACAGAACGGCCCGCTGGCGATGCCAAAAATGGATTCCCCGGGGGAAAATAACCCTAGTTGTCCGTCTACTTTTATGGGTTGTCCGTCTTCCCAAGGATTTATTGCTCATAATGTGAAGGTCTATGTACAAAGTCAATGTAAATTGCATCAAGAAAATTATTGCAGAATCCGTTTTTTGCATCGCCAATGCGCCGATCAAAAATATGAAACGTCTGCAAAAATGCAGACGGTCCTTATTTTTGAGGACGCATCGGTCAGTGTTAAAGAAGACGATCCTCGTTTATGAAGACGATCCTTATTCTCGGACCAGCGCCCCTACTAGTACTGTTTAACAAGAAAGTCAAGATAGAGTTAAGGAGCCGGTTTTCGGCCACTTAAGACAAAATCCTATTTTTTGGACCCTTTACTTCCTATTTATTATCATTTTTTGTTTAAATCATGAAGCAAATATTATTATTATATAAACAAAACAAGAATCCCAGAAAAAGATCATGAATTGCCATGACAATATTCATTTCAATTTTCACATGTACAAAGTCAATAGGAAGCGCTCGCGCGCGCCGTGCGTTTCCACGCTGATCTATAGCACAAGCGGGCGGAGCAGGTATCCCACGCCGGAGCTCCCCGGTGCTCGCCTGGTCGAAAACTAGCACTGCCGTGATCGGAAATTGGAATCTGAATTAGACTAGCATATCGTGCGTGCGTTGTGGTGTCCGGCTGCATTGATTTAATACATGCGATGAGATACTTTTGAGCTTGCGACTAACACAAAATCGGGCTCTAAATCTGAAAAATACTTGAAATAAAGCTCATTTTATCTTACCCATATTTCTTACAGACACGCGTAAGATACTCAATTTTTCAGATTTCGGTAGCGGGACCGCCGATTACATCGCTAAAACGTGATATTTTAGGATATATTTCGATTGCAAATGTGGTTCTTCAGTGACTCTGGCATGGTTTGGTATGTGTGGGATATGTGATATGCTATTATGCGATGTATTTTAAAGGGATTTTACCATGCATCCACCGGATCGGCCGAAAACTGGAGCTGGTCGATTACCCCCTCTACTCTATCAAGGCTTTTACTACAACTTTCGTCATCTATAGTTTGACTTGATTATAACATCTCCTGTTTTTATTTTTCAGAAAAATATTTGTTGGTGGTGTTGACCGCAACACACATGCAGGTAAGAACTGTACTGTCAGTAGCAGGATTAGTAAAAACAATTTGGATAATCAGTTTATTTACATTATTGATTGTTAATATAAAATATGAAACTATAATTTTGCAAAATGAAAGAATGTTGATGATTATGATGTTTGAATACATTTGCAGAAATAGCTAACGTAATTGTTCCTTAATTTACACCTCAGAACAATGTGTCAAAAGTGACTACTTTTTTTTTTAATGCCTTTTATTTTGTTGTTCATGAATTTGGATTTGTAGTAAAATATATTGAGTTCTAAATACTACTTGTGTGTTGAATCTCCTTTGGAAGATTGATGTATAGTAAAAACAAAAGAAGTGATGTTTATTTTCAATCAGAAATTCTCTATTGATGATTTTGATAACATCAATAATCATGATAGTACTCTTTAAGTTTAAGCCTAAGGAGTGTTATTTTTCAGAGAATTTCTTTCCCCTCCCTCTCTTCATCTGTCTGGCTGACTTGTTTTGATTTTCAAATGTTAATTACTAACGACCCTCCTTGACCTCAGATACATTCCGAGCATACTTCGAGAAGTTTGGAAAGCTGAGTGATATTATCTTGATGATGGATAAAGATAAACCTGGTCAGAACAAAGGCTTTGGTTTTGTGACGTTTGCTGACCCGGCCTGCGTAGACGATGTGACCAACGAAAAGAACCACAACCTGGAAGGAAAAGGGGTAAACTCTTATTTCTTATAACTATAACAACCTTAAGATTTGTAAGGTGCAAATCCACTTTGCTCAAGATGCACTCAGTAGATGAAATCACTTAAAGGCATGATGTACAAAAGAACAACATTAATTAAGTTCATCATCTGATATTATTGCCTTTATGTAATAAATTGAAATTATAGGAATGTGAAAATTTAACATGTAAATGAGTGATTTTTTTGCTATGCAGTCTGAGTTTGAGCTCTGTAAATAATTTTCACATTCAATAAAAAATGAGGAAAGAGTCAAGAAAATACAACTTCTTTTTAACAGTTTTTTTTTGTATTCATCTATAAACAAGACTAAACAAAAATGGCAGATCTTCTGTTGCATTACTATTCATCATTCAAAGGGTAGTACATGTATTTCCTGATTTTGTCTAGATTCTAATAGAGAAGTGTGTCATGTTTTGATTGTAGCTTGATTGCAAACGTTGCAAAGCTCGAGGATCAGAGAAGAGAATGGGACCAGGTGATCAGAGAACTAAGAAGGTCTTTGTGGGAGGTATCTCACAACAAGCTACCAAAGAAGATCTCTATGAACTATTCAGATCACATGGAAATGTAAGTATTCTCATTAAAGGGGGTTCCAAACCTTAAAGCCCCTCTAAAGTGTGGGGAGCTCCAAATTGTATTGACTGGAAATTTAGTGACCAAATTGCCAATTTGAGATATGTATAGATGGTAGTTGGCTCATATTGCCAACAATCGTATGTTTAATATGGATCTAATTCACAAATCAACTTTTTACAAGAATTGGATGCCCTTTGATAATCACCGACTATGTGTAACATAAAATGATAAATATAACAGTGGAAAAAAAAACCAGGATAACGGAGAAGGTGCAAAATAAGTTAAACAGAATTAAAGCTATTAGATTTACCTCAATTATTTGCTTCGAATGAAGAATTATGGTGTATGAGCATATCATATGTGATTGTAGTTCAGTTACTTTATCTGTGTCTACAATTAGATATATGCAGAGATATATTGGAGACTGAATGGTCTTTTAATTTGTTTTTGTTCGACATTTCATTTGTAGGTGGAAGATGTACATATTATGAACGACACCGACACTGGAAAACACAGAGGTATGTTTGAAACAAAAACTGTACAGATGTAGTCCATTATAACTAATTCTAGAGTGTATGTTTTGTGGTGAAGTAAAATTTGATTATAATGTACTTACATGCATGTATTCAAGCAAAATAAGTGATATTTGAAGAGAGGGGATAGATAACCCTAGCATATTTTAGAACACTCCTGTTTTTACCGTCATGGATTTTTTTAATAAAAATGTCATACCATGTAATTTATGATTTTCATTAATTTACTGAATACAATAGACGAGAAATAGATATGTAGTCATCGACCGGTAAAAACTTTTGCACCTCTCAACATAGGTGAAAGATATGTGTTTTTATCGGACTCAAAGTGATGCACAAGAAGTAACTGAGAGATTTAAAGATTTGCCTACAAGACATTTTTAATTTGTGAGTCGCATATGTATATGGGTACTTGTTACCTCCAAGGTTTTAACTATGATTTCATGGTTATAAAGTATAGGCCTAGGATTTTAACTATTTTTTTCTTCTTTACTTTGCTAATGAATGAAAAAGTATGGTAATCTTGTACCTTAACTGTATTGTATTCTCTCCTAAGTTTTTTCCGTTTTCATGTAGGTATATCCAGAGTAAGCTGTAAGACTTTGTTTCTTCTACAGTGCAATGCAAGGTTGTTTTCTGGCTTTTTATCCTCCACGGAAGATACTTCATTTGTTTGATCGGGAGATCTAGACCAAAATCGAAATCATGAAAGTGACCACAAAATAGATATCATGAAAGTGACCACAAAATAGATTAGAACAAACTTCTTCTATATGGTCAGAAGGTTGCTGTTGAAGTATAACTCCAACTTTAATGTAATGAATACAAAAAATTATATTTTGCTATACTGGCTTCAAACTTGCATGCACTGTAGAAGGTAGGTCAGTCTTGTATTTGTACCAGTAAGCTTTAATGTTTACGTTATTATGGAATGGCATGTATCTACTACCTACGTACCTACCTACCTACCTACCTATCTATCCTGATCGTACTGTATCTACATGTAGGCTTCGGCTTTGTGACGTTGGATAGTGAAGAAGCCGTAGAGAAATTGGTCCGAATGCACCATCTGGAGCTCAAGGGAAATCGGTAGAGTTTTAAGTCTTATCTTAATTATTTCTTTTTTTCTGCGTGAATGAGAGAAAGAGAGAGAGAGAGAGAGAGGAAGGGGAAGCGACATAGCAAGAACTTGGAAATATTACAGTGAAATCGAGAATGGGATCTGCTTTGAAATTGTTCTTACTCAGAATTTTTTGTTTTACTAATTTAAATTGGCACAATTTTTTTCTTTCTTTCTTTCCTGTCCTTGAGAAAGGTCGATTTTAGAATTACAATCACCCCCAAAATGCTAGAAACAAAAATATGGTTCCAGAACTGTAATATTTTGCATAAGATTTCAAGAATATGCAAAGAAGAAATCGCTGTGATTTTTCACAGTGATTTTACTTCTGTCTCCTACAACGAGATACAAATACACTTTATTGATGAGAAATCGGTTTGCTTGTGTGAGTGATAGTTGAGTTTGATTGTAACATCCTACAATGGGCAGTTAATTTATAATAAGTTAAAGTACTTGGAGCGCAATTGTAGTGTAGTGTAAATGTATTTAAACTACTTTTTAAATACCTTTAAGAAAAGCTAAATGAACACTTTAAGTTAAGTACCTTACAGTATTCAAATGTTTTAAGTTTAAGCATTGGTTTATCATTTGCATGAAAAAATTTCACTAATTTACTGTTACTTAGTAATGAATAGTATTACTTATAGTTAAGTCGTATGTCATTACATTACGTGAAGGAAAAATATTACCATACTGTACCTACAGATTCATTCAGTAGAAGTATTGTATCATGATTTACCATTTCTCTTAAGCGTACTTAAGCGTAATTTGTATACTAGTGAACAGAAATTGTTTTTGAGAAAGAAGACCGTCTGAGATATACGCCGCTCTGCATGCTCCAAGTAGTTTAATTTATTCAAAGAATTTGCTTTTCATTTCATGAATATTTTTTTTTATTGTTGTTGGGAGTGTTATATAAGGATCAAAATGATTGAATATTCTTAATCCTTATATGTACACAAGGGCTCCACACTAACTTTTTTTGGAAGGGGGTCTGGTTTTAAACTTTTTACAGTCTGTATGCATGAGCTCTATGTTAAAATTTTAGAATTTTGAGGGCCCAGACTTGGATTTTGGGAACCTGTGTGTCCTGGGAACCTGTTAGTGTTGAGCCCTGCGTACACATATACATGTATCTTCTCACTTTAAAGAGAAGTTATTAAACAGAGCACAATCTTTTGAAATGTGCAATGAATTTTGCAAAAATATTGGAAGTTTTTGAACTATTGGTAAAGCCATGCACACGTTTAACAATATCTACTAACCATTTATCATTGTGTATCCTGTTCAATGTTCAAATTTCAAATTGCTTAGGACCTGTTTGAGGTGTATTAATATTTTATGTGGGATGTGGGGGAAACACACCGTAATTGCATGCTTCAGTGATCAGCCACTGTAATTATCAATCATTACTAGTATGTGACAGAGTATTGATGCCTCAATCACACCCAGGCCTTAAATTTTAATATTTTTAGGGCAAGGCCACTTTTCTGTAAGGGCACATTCCTATATTACAGTACAAATAGGAAGAATTGGAAAGGGCCCCAAAAATCTCCAAGGCCAATGAGAGGGGCATTGAGGCCAATCGAAAGGGCATCCACGACCATGACCTTGGTGACCTTGGATTAATTTAAGCTCTGCTCACCACTCATCTGACTCCGCATACGCCCTGAACCGAGCAATTCTTAGCGTACCATGGGTTAATGCAATTGCTTGTTGGTTTGGTGTCGGTCTCCTAAGTGTGACTTGGGTACAAGAACCTATCCATGATTCTGAAACTTAATGAAATTTGAAAGGACAGGTCTCCTAAATCTTTCCTTGCTCCTATGCCTACATCATACATAACATGTATGCAATTCTATGACCTTCAATAGCTGGTCCTACTCCATGTTTACATGTGATTTTTCAGTATCTTAACATTTATTGAACTTTTTTAGTTGATTGGTTGTTTTTTCATTGAAAAACAACTTAATTTCTATCCAACATTGGAATGTGACATCTTACCTCAGACTATCAAATAGCTGCAATTCTAGCAATGGGACTAACAATGGAAAGAGAAGATTTTGGTTTGGAACTGGAAATTTCATTGTGAATATCAGTAATATATATTTTTTAGGATGTCAGAATGGCACTTCTTTTAGCTTGAGGAATAGCTTATTCAGAATTTGCAAAAATTTAGTTTTTATTGTGCATCAATGATTTTTCATTGATCCACAGACACTGCGTAGGGTTTTCATCCCAGGAAGTTGATTAGATTTGTTCTGATAATCTTTTTGTCTCATTCTGATAATGTTTTCATTTTAATCGGTGACAGTTGATTGACCCATTTTGTTAGGCTGCACAAAAGAAAAACACATTCTTATATATGTTTAGAACTTTAATCTGACTAGAAGTTACTGATCATCTTTAAGAAAGATAGCACAAGATGATTTGAATTTGATGGAAGTATACCTGGGAAATCATAATTAAGTAATCTATAGATTTAGGAAATAATTGATTTCAGTGATTTATTGATAGTTCTGGGTTACCAGGTCACATATTTCTAGATGGTAGAAAACTTTTCCTCATTTAAAAGTTATTATTTATTTATTTATTTATTTTTTGGTTTGTTCTTGTTCTTTGTTGATACATCTACATTTTGGCAAATGGTACATTTTTATGAAATTCAAAGCAACCGAGGCAAATTGATTTCCATCATCCAATGAAGTTTATGGTTATGATGTTACCTTATAGACAGGCAAACAAACAACATCAATAATATTTAGTGCTCGAAAATCAGTACGTACGCTTATAAAAATCTTATAAAACACTCCAGAAAGATATATTCAAAAGTTGGTAAGATTTCTCTAATAAATATCAAAGAAAATTCCCTCACCAATTTAAGGATTCACTTTGGAAAATATTTGCTTGTGATATTTCACACACACTTAAATGTAAGCAAAAAAATAAAAGTGATGAAAAGATGGGCGAAAGTCAAACAAATAGAAATGAGGCAGCAAGAGAGTTTGATTGTTTGGAAATTAAGATGAGTTAATTTCAATTGTGTCATCTTGGTCAAGTGACTGATTTAATGTAGCCCCCCCCCCCCCCCCCCCCCCAAGGGTAGTAATTCTTTGTATCTTTCTCCCTAATGAATTTACCCTGAGGGACTTTCTTTGATATTAACATGTTATATAACAACCTTTCACCAAGTAGTTTCTTCAGTCAGGATATTTGATTGGATTTTATGAAAAAAGATTGATGCAAACTTGTCATAGATAGCATCATACACATACCAACAATATATGCAACGATGCGAACCTCTTTTATAATTATTAGTCTTCACTTTTAAATAAATCATAACTCTCTTACTGTCCATTTATCAATCCATGCCTCTGATTTTTCTGCTTTAATTCATATGAACATTTGATAGTCCCTTAAAAGCCGTTGGTACGAGTCTCGTTGATAAGATTAACCTTGTTTTAACTTCCATTCCAATTAACCTAACTTCTAACAACTATCCTGCATGATTCAACTGCTATTGTATAATTGACATGGTTTTGGTTTTATGTTGGTTTAGATGGAGATCAAGAAGGCCCAGCCTAAGATGAACCGAGGGTTCGGAGGTCCAGGAGGACAGGGTGGCCCAGGGGGTCCAGGAGGCTTCCCGCAGGGGGGTAACTGGAACCAAGGTGGTGGTCAAGGAGGATACGGAGGAGGCGGCAGCAACGGCTACGGAGGCGGCAACCAATGGGGTCAGCAAATGGGTAGGTAGTGACCCATAGAACAAACAAATCAAGATGCATCAGAGTTTGTATGCTTCTGCAACCAAAGGTGGTGCCGGAGGCATTATGTTCTCCAGGGACCCGTCTTACAAAGAGTTGATATCAATCGCAACTATGTACATAAGAGATAGGAGACCGCAAACTTGCGATTGATTGGAGGACTTACGATTGATCCAAATCAACCTTAACTCTTTGTAAGACAGGGCCCAGTTGTCTCTCCATCTGTTCATCTGTCCTACTTTTTGATAACTTAAGAACCATTAAATGAATTTAACCAAACTTTGATCAAGTATTGTATGAGCATGCAAGGATTAAACTGATTAAGATTTTTGGTGTAATAGGTAAAAGGTCACAGGGTCATGAAAGTGTTACAAAATTACTAGAAATATTTTAAAAATTTTGGCATATCGATGTGGTTAAAGTTGCAGTCACAGTCATCTTGTTAACCTTTTGTTCATGAAGTACAAACTTTAATTGCATAGTATGATTATTAGAATAAGCTTTCTGAGTAATTGTAAGAAACATTGTATGCTGATTGTCAGGTCAATACGGTGGTGGACAGCAAGGTGGTGGTTACCAGCAACAGCGAGGTGGTGGTCAACAGCCAGGCTACAACAGGCAACAGCAGCAACCACAATCAGGCTATGGTCAACAAGGACAACAAAGTTATGGAGGTAGGTAGGGATGTAATGTGGCTGGTTATTCCTGTAGAATGCATCAAGCCCATTTATAGTATGTCCTCAGAATACTATCACGCTAATGGGCTAGAAAATTGAAAGATAATGTGAAATTCGGGTTATCCTGAAAATCCAAGTGTACCAGAATCTTTCAACTTTCGAACAAATGGTATGAAATATATAAATGAAAAACTTCTGCTGATTGAAGTTGGCTAGAAAGATTCATTGGTAGTTCCTTGGTTCAGGGTTAGTGATGACTAATAAATGATGCCAAAGCTTATCAATGTATGTTTGGTTTGGGGATTTTCATAAATTTAGCAGTACTATGGTATTTTGTAGATGATCAAGTATTCAGCGTGACTTTCAGCCATTATCTCAGAAGGTAATTGTTTCATTACCTAAGCTTAGATTAACTTTGAAATTGTTAATGGCCTTGGAAGGAAGCACAATATTGCAATGGTAGCGTGTCTCACTACTGTAATGTCCATTACTAGATCAAGCAAGTTACAAGTATCTACTGTTACTTACTGATATACTGTACCTTTATTTTTTATTATTTCCTCATGAAAATGGCCGAGTCAGTAGCACTTTAAATCAGTAATGCTTCTAACTCCATACATGCCAACTGTTCAGATTAAAGAGGAACATTCCTCTTTTTGGGAGAAGATAATTATCATTTTAATGCAGGTGTTCATCTTCCTGTACAAATTTGTCTGTAGTATTGAATAGGAGAGTTAGGATTGTTCCTCTTTTTTTGAAAATAGCATAATTTGTACAGATTTCTGATTTTCAAATGTTGGCATGTATGTAACTCTAACCCTACCATCCCTTTGCTTGTGCAAAATTATCATAATTTATTTTTAGTCAGGGACATATTAAGGCATGTAATAAATAGATAATTTGATGTTGAGTGAATTCCCATGAGCATGTCTTGTGGACACACTCTAACAAAGCACATTTGAGTTTATATACCACCTTAATAAAATGATGATGTCACTTTTTAAGTAGCATGTAATATCCAATGCTGTGTATATACCAGTGAATGTGTTTGATGTACTCGTACTGTCCAATCCTGATCGTCCTATCTTGCAGGAAGACACAGTGGGGGAGGTGATAGTATTGGAGGCGAAAAATCTCGCAACGGTAAACTCTCAAATAGCCCTCAGTCAGACAGTCTTAGTTTTATATCTGTTAGATTAAAGAAATACTACTTTGAATTAACGATGGATATGGAAAGGATGATCATGTGTTTCCTACTGTACCCAAAGTATAAATATAATGGCAGTCTTGCTGATGAAATCATATGTAATAATGATGGTGAAGATAACAATAGTAATCATAACAATAATAAAGTTATAATAATATTAACTGTTAAAATTCTTAAAGGGCCCTTTTTCTCTCAAGCTTCATAGCATTGAATCTATAAAGAATCTGAGTTAACAATTTTTACTCATAGAGATATTTATATCACCCCAATAGTCAAAAGTTATTAAAGATATATGACTTATCCAAACTTCAAACTTTTCTTATGTTTGTTAAAATACAAATATGATTATATTTAAAAAAAAAATGAAATTATAATACCTTGGTACATGTATCTGCATGATTTTAAAAAGATTTTAGTTATTGAAGAGTAAAGACATAGAATTATCTGGCTAGTGGTGGTCAACCAGATCACCTGATTTTAGTAGCAAAATATAACTAAAAACAGACTGAAAGTGAGTATTGACTGTCTGATGGGGCTCGTGTTTTTTTCTGGTGCTATTTTGCAAACTAATTGATTTTCTGGTGTTTTTATTCTAACATTGCTTTTTTAATTTATGAATAGTGTTTGAATTTTTCAAGTTTACTTAAGCTTACTTAGTTTTCTTTCTTGTTGTTATTCTTTGCTTCACATAAAGTGGAGTTTTTCTTGCATGAACTTTTATTTATTTTTTAATACTTTTTTAATTTGTTCTATTTTCTTCTGAAAAAATTCAATATCCACAAAATACATGTTTAATTTACGGTACTCAAATCAGGGGCTTCAGCATTGTTCTGTCGATGCCACTATTGGATTGAGGCATTAAATGTTTTATTTGTTTATGGTAGACTATCACAAGATGTGGCAAATATTCTTGTCTTTATAATGCAGTATTGGTACATGTATTTCCTTTGTAACTACTTCCAATACACAAGAGGTAGATTAAGTTATGTGGCTTGGAAAAAAGTGTACTAGTATTCCAAAATAAGATTGTGATGGAAAAAAAAAACCCTGTGACCTTTCATAATTGTTATCAAACATAGTTGTTATTACTAGCCGTGTAAACCAACCTATTTATTGTGGTGCGTGCATCAATTTTTGTCGTCGTTGTTACACATTGTAGCTATAAGCCTACACATGGAAGATATGATTATTCCAAAGTACTTACAGTGATAGATGTATACTCAAACAGGAAAAAAGGTTCATGAGCTTTGATTTCCTCATGAGTGTTAATTATTTTGCAGAAATTTCAAATATTCATTGATAACACAAAATATTACATGGAGTTATGTCAACATTCTTGCATGAAAAAACAAAAGTTGCATAAGAAAATAGGCTATTCCTACAAGATGATATGATATTATCTGCTAATAAATTTGAATTTTTGTAACATATTTTCATAAGAGGAATAATCATACAGGCTTTATTCAAATGATAGTCTTTTTGAGACATGAACATTTAATGAAATGTTAATGACTTCTCTTTTTTTTTTTACAAGAACTTTAGGGGAATTTATAAAAATCCTATGTTGTGATTCAATTATTTCATCTAAACCGACTTTGAAATATGTGAACCTTTCATGAACCCTAGATTTACCGGTTTTACAGTAATATACTAGTATGATGCTAGTTTATGAATCAGTTTTTACTTCATCATGCTGTGTTTGTTACAAGGTTACTTAAGAAGAATTCACCATACTAGAGTACCTACTGCACCCTATCTTTGATCGGGGGAATTCTTTTGCTTCTTTATTTTATAGAGGTGGTTGTTGATATTTATACTGAGATGTTAATTTCATTCTTGTTCATACCTGGTTCTAGAGTCTGATGAATTGCTTTTCTGTTCTTTCCAGATGCACAGGTTCTCTTAAACTCTTTGGTCCTTATCCTACTGTCCAGTTAAACCCGACACATGGTCTAAAATCATGTATAACAATTTTGAATATATAGACTTCAAACAAACTTCCTTTGTTGAACTTGATTTTGAACAAAAGTGTCTGGTTTAATGTTAGTAGAATACAGTGTTGTTGCTGTTGTTTCAGTCTTATGACATTTTATGCTTCATGGCAATATGTATTCATGTTGGTGTTTTTACATTACACTTGTTTTTATCTGACAATTATGTGGTGATTTTCGAGTTCACAAGACTCGAATCGTCAGGGGTACTTTCATCTGTTATTTTCCTTTAGTGTGTGTGTATTTCTTCAACCATTTTGGTTGGAAAGAAGAGTCCATCCTAACAGGTTAGCTTTAATAAAAGCAAAAAAAAGTAAACTAGATCAGTGAAATATATAGGAAACTCTGATAAAGGGTTGGAAAGTGGTGACTTTGTAATCTATCAAACACATAACACAGTCAAATCTGTCTACAGCGACCACCCAAGAGAAACACAAAAAGTGGCCTTTGTAGACAGGTTGCTTTAGTACATGATTCAATGAGAAACCATTTTCAAGGGAAACAACAAATGTGGCCTTTGTAGACAGGTGGTCACTAAAGCAGGTTTGACTGTAGTTCTTTGATTCTTTACAAGCAGTTCTCAATTTCCTTGACTTCAATAACTGTCTCATTCTTTATCAGAAGTTCCCGTAATCTTCACTGATGCAATCTGTTTCTTTTTTCTTGGCTAAAAAAAAAGGCAACTTTCTGTCATGTTAGACTCTTCCTTGTGATATTATTTTGAGGAGTGACTTGATAATGATTGATGTTTGTGATTGCTTATTTTGCTGCTAGGTGCACAAAGCTATGGTAGTTATGGAGGCTATGGACAGGCACAGCAGGACCCCTATGGCCAACAACAACAGGCAGCACCTCAGCAGCAGTATGCAAGCCAAGGTTAGCTTACAATACAATACCACCTGTCTCATTTTCACTCTAATCTTTTCTGTTCATTATTCAGTCCCATTTTCATCCCCACCCCACCCCATTTTCATTCCCACCCCACCCCATTTTCATTGCCCCCACCCCCTCCCCGCCCCATTTCCAAACCTCACCAATCTCAATGCCTTTATAACACTGGACTACATGAGAGACCTGGGGTCCTAAGTCGAGCTTACAAATTATGGACAGCCATTGATTGGTAGCCTTAAAATCAAATATATTCAAAAGCGAAAATTCAAGTAATTTAGACTTTTTATAAATTCCACATCAAGAACATGAAATCTCCTTGATAATAGGAAAAATTAATGATTTGAAACAACATTTTACGCCTTTTAAAATAATTTTCACAAAGTATTTTCATAGATGCTAACTGCTTTCCATAATTGTTAAGTCCTACTTTGGATCTTAGTGAAACACCCTCTGGGTTTGTTTTCAATAAGAAACAAAATGACTTGGATTTCTTTGTGACTTTTCCTGTGCACATGGTTACAATTGCATCCGAGGTTTTATAACACAACCACCTCGGCCTTGAGTAGCAATGGCAAGCGATGGCAAAGATTTAGTGCTGATAGGTTCTAAGCTCGGGTTCCTTTCCAATTTGTAAAGAATGTAGGATGCTTTACATTGACTTTCTGATTATGTTTGCCAGAGAGACAATTATGCAAATCAGGTTTTTAACAAGGAAAATGTCTATTAAAGATGTTCATGTGTGGGTATATAGTCATTCGTGAAGTAGGCAACTTGGCAATCACTACATAACACTGGGCCAATGGGTAATACGTTCCTGTGCGTACGTCGAGGTGCTGCCCTCTATATACCCACGCTTGAGCAACTTCAATATCTAAGCATTATTCTCAACATCTTATGTATTTACATTTGAACTATTTTTTTTCTCAACAAATATTTTTCACAAAGCTGAATATTCAATATTGTTTTTATTTTTAGGATCGATGGGTAGCTACGCTCAAGAAGCATCCGGCTATGGACCTCAGAGAGGAAACTACAACCAAGGTTATAGTCAAGGTCTGTATTCAAATATAACTGTTTTTATCATTGTAATGTTTGCAGAGGCCTGGCATGGGGCAAGTATCCCTCTGTCACCTCCACATCAAATGGCTAACAAACCTTCTTCAGGGAATGATAATGATGATGCAAGTGATATGAAAAAGCTATTGAACAAGAAATGTGCAAAGTGCATGACCAGAATACCAGTTCTAAATAAGCGATTTTGCTTGGCTATTAAACCAATTGCTTTAGCTTCAGTGTGATATGAAGCTCATTTCTAGCTTATAATGAGAAACAGATATATGATTTTTAAGCAAATGGACAAGGTTTAGAAGTTTAGAGTTGTCTTTATTTGTAATTATTTTAATGGATTAATTAGAATTGCCCAATTTCAATTATGGAATGAATTTCCTTATCCGTTTTATCAATTCCTGTGTTCTCACAAACTAGTTTGCATCAACAACCAAATATGACTATTCCCAATAAGTTAATCCACTATTATATTTGAAGAAGGAGCAAGGGAGGGGGGGGGGGGGGGCAATTTGCCCCCTCATGACAAATTTCTGACCAAGAACAAGAAACGAATTCTCATTAGTTGTTGTAACAGGTTAGGAATCACTTTATAGTTAAGAAATGCGCAAAGTGGATGCATATTCTCAAAATTCATGATGCAAACCAGCCACCAAAAGTTTTTGTTTCATAGAAAGTTGAAATGTTTGTAAGCCACTCCTGACGCAAGTTCTGGATCCCCCCCCCCGACTCAAATTGAATTAAAGTAAATGTTGAATTGTGTTCATGTTCACACAGCAGCTCCCCAGACACAGACACCCACGCCACAGCCACCACAGCAGCAGAACTATGCACAGGTGGAAAGCGGTCAAGACATGTATGGCACCAACAACTACGGCAAGGCTAACATGGGGGGAAACCAGTTCCATCCATACAGTCGATAATCAGCTAACCAGGAGCTCGTGAGAACAACCCTCAGTCTCACATATCTGTTCTCTATGTTTGGTATGAAGGGCTGTTTTCATGGCTGGTATTTTCATGATCCTGCTTGTAAATCATCCCATTTTGTGTGTCCAGTTCTATGATATTGTTGGAGGGGGGGGGGGGGGGGGGGGATAATTTGGTCTTTGTATAGCTTGTTTAACTTTGAATGTAATCACTGACAGTCTGGTGTAGTCCTTATGCAAATTTGTTTAAATAATTGCACGTTATTATATGGTTCGTATAATAAAGAGTGAAATAGAATATTTGACACAGTGTGAATACCTGCAAAAAAGATATATGCTTTGGTTTGGTCCATAGTTGTGCAAATTGGGTTTGCTACAAGGCTTCTACAATTGTCATGTGTTGAGACTCTCAAAGGAATTGAATTCTGGCATTCCATCTATTGGTTGAAAAGATATCAAAACATCTCAATAGGTTCATTTTGGAAGATGAATTGCTTTGTATAAAAAATACACAATAGTTGAAAACATCACTGACTTGAAAAAAATAAAAATAAATAGAAGTTGAAATCAATGTAAAAGATCATAGTGTTCTTTAGAAAGACACTTTCACTTTTTAGCAATGTGAATTCCAGTTAGCATTTCACCAGTGTTGACTTTTATTCTGTACAATTATCAGATAATCCAAAATGGCAGTAGTGACAGGTTTTTTCTATTACTGGATAAGATGTCTCAAATTCTTCACCCTGCCTCCATATTTCTATCAGTGTTCCGGCTAAACCTCAGGGCTGTGATTTGTCATACATGTTCAAGATTTGGGTGAATTAGAAATCAGTTTGGCAGTTTTCATTAGAACGAGGCCTTCATAAATGGGTTTGTACAAACATAATTTTACAATGTACATTTGACATATTTCAAACCTGTTTGCTCTGTTAATCCATGGTACCTTGTTTGCAGTGAAAATGTCGATCACATGGTTTATTCTTAACAGTAGGTTAGATTATGGATTTAATGATCAGTCAATTTAATCCTACATCGGCATAATGCACCAGGCTTCCTCTTATCTATATTATTTATTTTTTGATATTTTTGCTTATGGTTAAAAAAAAAGATTTCATTCCCTAGATTTATCTGCTTTCTGTACTGATTTTTATTTCAAACATAAAAAAAATCATGGAAATATGATTTTCCTTTATTGACGAGTGTTTTTCTTTGGAGTTGTTATGTGTTTATGTCTTAAGATTGAGGGCTGGATTGTTTTGTCTTGGGAAGTATAAGAAGTCACACGTACCATTTTCATTTGTAGATATTAATTCATAACTGCTTTTGTTAATTTAATTGCCTTGAATGTGATTGCAACAATACTGACTACTGTTTATGTAGGATGCGTGACAATCTAGAGCATTTAGAAATGATGAATTCTTTGTTTAAATGAATGCATTTGACTCATGGAGTCTACTAGAGTGGTATTATTGTCAAAGACATACTTATATTTACACCTGTTATCTACTCTCATACAGTATTCAGAGAATAGCAAGGTTTGTTGAAATGCCTACACAATGTTATTTAGACCTCAAGATTTTGTATTTTGTCAGTTCATTCCTGTTAGGTGTTCACATGTTTAAATCCCTAGCACTGTTAGTCTTCAATCCAATTTCAGTTTAAAATCTAGATGAACAATGAAAAATGAACGGCACTTTTCTCATTATTATGTACATTATTCAGCAGCTTTGTATAAAAAGAAGACGTTAAAATTCCCTTTTTGCCATGATGATTGATTGATATTGTAGAATGTATATCTTGCTTGGGAGGCTGTTTAATATGAGTAATATGCTGTCAGTCACATTTCTAGATTCATGATTTGACTCTCGTAAGTCCATGCAAATGTTAATTTCAATACAATTGGGTTAAGTCCATATTATTGAGCTGATAATTCTGTTTCATTTTTCCCACTGTGTTATCACTTGTCTGTAATGATGAAATGGATTTTTTTGTTCTATATTTTTGAAAGAGAAAATTGATTAAAAGATTCCACATGTTTTTACCTAGAAAATGTTTGCCATTTCCTCCTCATTTCACAAGATGGCAGCATTACTTGCTTTGCTGGATCTCTTGGATGTCTTTAAATTAGGTGGTGTTTCACTATATTGCTGATGTATTGTGAAATTTTAACGTGTGTGTGTGTATTTGTGTGTTGGGGTGAGACCAGGAACAGTTCTAGACTAGTAAATTTGGGAGGAGGGGGGGGGGGGGGGGGGGTAAAGGGTTCTTGCATTTTCCACTTGAGCCTTGCTTGCATTCATTCATTTATAATCAAGATTTATTTATTTATTTATTTTTTAATTCAATTTTTTTTTAAAAATTTATTTATTCTTCTTCTTCTTCTTCTTCTCATTTTTATTTATTTTTTTTTTTTGGGTGGGGGGGGGGGGGGGGGGGGGGGAGGCTTGACTCCCCAGCAAACCTCTAGAACCACTAATGGGTGCGATAATTTGGGGAGGGCTAATATTCAATCTCCACGTTTTGGGCCTATGGGATAATAAAGGGTCCTAGTGGATGAGTAATAATTATGATGATTTGATAAGTGATAAGGTATACATAATTACATGCATTATCATCATCCAGCACATTAACATTCTACATCCTACATAATTAACATAGGCATAACATTATAAAACTTTACATAAAGGAGATAGAAAAATAATAAAAGGAAAGAAAATGTGTTTATATAAAAAGCAGATAATTGAAGGTGTGCTTGAAACCTTCAATTCTATCAACCAATTTTGGATTTTAGAGACTTCTCTAAAAATGTACGACTTTTTTTTTTCTTTCCAGTATTTCTTTAAGCATTTGTCAGGAATTTTAAAAATGTTAAAACCAGCATTGTGTCTTTACTCTTATCAGAAAAATGGGGAAATCAACATTACATGTATTATTCATTGTATATTTTGTTCACTTGATGGAATTTTTTAAAATCTCCCGTCAGATATTTGATCCAACAAAATCTCTCTCATAAAAAGAAATAATGATATTACAAAAAATTAATCAATCAGTGCCCCTGTTTCAGTTTGATATAAAACTTTTGACTTTTTAGCATTTTTTTATTTTTATACAAATGATGAAAAAGAAAAAGAAAAAATATATATTGATTGATTACTAATATACAACAATCTATACAATCTCAGTTTAGTCCGGCAGCCATCTCGATATACCTTGTTTTAGGGTCTATAGTTTTTTTTTCTTCGGATTATTGTTCCTTAGACCATCAATTTGAAGAATTCGATTGCTGACACTCTGTCAGCATTGAGCAATTTGAGATATGTGACGTCATACAAAATGGCCGCCAAAATCCCCTTTTTAACCAAAATTAATGATATAAAAAGTTTTAACAGCATTTTACTACATTAAATGGCAGTCAAATATCTTAATTTTTTTCTAGAATCATCACTAAATAAAAATTGCGATGCTGTATGATCACAAATGATATGCAAATTTGCATAATTCGGAATGGCGCCCTCTATAGACACATTAACTTGAATAGTTCAAAATGATGGCCAAATACCAATTTCTAACATGAGATTATCATATGTCATGAGTCAGATGCACTGGATACATTGAGTAAAAATTGGGCTGCACATTTATTTTTATTTTGTAATTTTATACTCGAAGAAAACATGGTTGAATTTTATGCTCTCTGTCCCATAGATATGAGGTGGCATATGGTGATAAATGCCCATTTTCAGTGACAGCGTTAAGAAACTAGATTTGTATTCTAAGGTACTAGATTCTTTTAAATTAACCTACAAATTACGAACTACCGATACGATACAGGACTATATCCGTTTATAAGTTTGCTTCAAAATCTTGAAATTTGTTTAAAAGCCCTCTAAAGTGTTGGGAGCCCTAAAATATTCCATGCGGAAGAGGGTGTCATTTAACACTTAATTCTGCAAAGTGAGGTCGTGACTGTAATGCGTGCTTCCACACGCATGTTTGCAAATGAGCTCTCTTTTAATAACATTTTCTACAAACGCTTGAGGTAGTTTGAGGTAGTGAGGCAAGGTTTGGGGGTATTTGGAGCTCCTAGTCTTCGGACCCTTGATAGCCACACGTTGATACGAGCCTCTGACATTCAGTTGGTTGTTGACTGTCCATAACATGAAGCAAAGCATTGAGTAGGTTGAGTGATGACATATGACCATGCTGCATCAACATTGCCAACTGAGTCCTAAGGGAGTCGAATCTTCTGCTTCATCACTTTTTAGCATTGTACCCTATCCAATGCCAAAGTATGCCCCAAGAGTGTCGCATCCCGTCAACGCATGTCCTGCCAACATCGATGGAATGATATCTCCTAACTTGTCTACATTAGCAGGAACATCAATAACAGTTCAATTTGTGAAGGGGCGTCTCCATGGTCATTGGCGTTTTATAAGTCCGTCATGTAGATAATGATCGATGCAAAAGTAGTACGTAGACGTCTGTGTCATCCACTAGGACCCTAACATACATCTTCTCATTAGCATCAATTCAAATCGCTTGCTGTACTTCGATGCTGCCTGCTTCATCATAACTATGATGTGGACAGACCTTTCCTTGCCATGACATCACTGCCTGGAATCACTTCAACAGGAACCTCATCTTGACGGTAAAGGCCTGCTTGTGCTTTTACCTATTTCTGAGCACCCAATCATCCTGCAGACTCGCGCATATAATTACGATGTCGATCAACTGTAGTTTGTTGTCATGAAAAGATAGTGAAGTTAGCAACACTAGAGACACGTTTCAACAACTTCTCTCCCTAGCTTTATTGATCTTTCCAAAGCTTTTGACTGCGTACAACATAAACGCCTATGGAAGATTATGAGCTGGATGGGCTTTCCAGCATATATAATTCAACTCATCCAGTCGCTCTACCAATACCTAGAAGCAACAGTAAGAACAGAGAATGGCTACACCGAAAGGTTCACTATTGGTCAAGTTGTCCGTCAAGGCTGCATCCTATCACCATCTATGCTGTATTCATTATGAGAAAGGCATTTTATGGTCAAGTTTCTGTTGGTGGACGAACGATCACCAACCTAAGATACGCCGACAATACAACACTCTCTGGCGTATTGATGGGGAAGGGTTGGGGGGGGGGGGGGGGTTGGGGACAGTTAAACCCCCAAACAAAATTCAAACTGTTTTTTCTATATATTCGATACCAGTGATTTACAAATTTTGCTGAAATGACATGATTTTCCTGGGTTTTTTCTCACTTTTTAGTAAATTATTATTTGTTAAGCGTATGTTGGAAAATGACAAATCCTAAATTCACAGTCAAGCAAAAAATATGCTTATTTAAAAGCCTACATGTCAGGGTCCGCAGAACAGCGGGGCTCAGGGGACTCGAGCCCCCTCACTTTTTGTATAAAGTATGTTGAAGAGAACTAGAAAGAAAGAAAGAAAGTGACCCGAGGTGAAATGAGGTATCAAAATATGTTCATCTTACAGTTAATAAATGCCTGAAACCCTTGAGCTTCCAGGGGCTGTGCCCCTTGAACACCACGCCAATTTGCGCTCCTCTCTTCCTGATCGTAAATACTTCACCCCACCCCCACCCCGATTTAAAAAAAGTTCTGCGGGGCCTGCATGTAACATGTATGAGTGGTGGTGATGCAGATTGTTTTTCTGCCCCTCTAAGTGTTTTTTGCTCAGTATGCCACTGACAACACTTATAACAAGAACATCAGAATAACTACTAGAACTCTTTAAAAAAGAGTGAAGGATGCAAGTGAATAATTTGGACCCTACCTCAATGGGAAAAAGACCTAGATCATGATTGGTGGAAATTAACTACATGTAACAGAGCATGGTGGTTGATGGAGAAGAAGTTGATCAAGTGGACAAGTTTATATAATGTTCTTGGGTCAATGATTGTCAAGGAGGGTGGAAGCTCGGCAATATCTGCCTTTGAAATGTGGTGTTGGAGGAAGCTATACTTGGGATATCATGAAGAGATTACAACACCAATGGACACAATTAATGTCCATCATCGGAGATCAACCGCCACTTGCTACCAGGATTGACGGTACAAGCTACAATAGTTTGGTCACGTTAGCAGAAGATCAGGAGACAACCTTGACAAATTATCATTCAAGGTACCTTTGAAGGAACACGTAACAAAGGAAGACTCAAGCTCAGATGGACTGACGACCTTCGGGAAATCACTAGCCACCCTCTAAATACTAAAGACACTCTACCGGATTGCAGGAGACAGATGCCGATCAAAAGGTCTCATCAAACGGGTCACAATGGTGAGCCATGATCTATATGACAACGACGACGACGACGAATAGTAAGAGATAGTTTCTTGGAGGGCAGCAGTGACGCGGGACTCAGTTGGAAGACTCTCGACCCGTTATGACCTCTAGATACTCTCGGATCTGTCAAACACCAAGCAAAAATCAGATTTTCATCCACAGCAGAGCACAACCATCAATGACTGTAATTGTTCCAGTGTCTCATGCCTGGCTGACATCTCAACTTTTGTCAAATTCTATAAGTCCGTCTTTGACATGGGAGTGCTCGTTTCCAGAATCATCAAAAAGTGCTGTTGGGACTGGTGAAAGCTCTTATGACAAAATGTCCTTGATATTGACCTCTCTTGAACTTGTCTGCAGTCCTATTACTCTGGAGTAGATCAACTTTTCATAGATTTTCGTATCCCAACATTGACTTCTTCATGGCAGCCATGGTTTGAACTTTCTTGGACATTGTGTCATAGAATCCACCAGGTAATATCTTTTGAAATTCATGCATCTGTCTAGTATAGATGTCAACTGCTTTATCCACATTCACTGACGTTGGAGCAATGCTGGTCTAAATAAAGCCTATCAATTGAATAATAATGTGTGCCGTAAAACCACTTCTCACCGATTTGATGAAAAATGAATTCTTTCATAGCCATTTTTTTTCTTGACATATGTAGGGTAGGTGTAGGGAATTGGAGACCACCAAGCTTGAACCCATCACTGTCTGTCCGTGTTGGCTCCAATATTGATATAGTGACAAATGTGGCCTTAAACAACACTTCTGCATATATCCAATTCATTTCGAAGACTACAATGCGTTCTCTCTCCGAGAAAATTGGCAAAATTGACCAAGATATTAGCAATTTTGATCGTAAAAATTTGCTCTGATATAAAAACACAATTTTCACTGAATGTTGTGGTGTATGCAGATATTTAGGGGTGGCTCTTAAAAATTAGTTTTAAAAGGAAGTTTATGAAATGTGCCAACCATCACAGAAAGCTTATGGCCATTGTATGTTGTGAATGGGTGTTGCAATTCACATTATGAATGGTGTATGATCAGAAATGTGTGTAGGTAATTGGGGACACCAGGTCCAAGATGGGGGCCTACTTCTCCCCAGTTGTCCATTTCATGTTGAAAGGCACTATCATGAAACACATTTGGTCGTACGTGTCACCATTCTAATTTGAATGCATTCAATTTTAAGAAGTTGTTTCTATGCTGTGAGTTTGATCAATGTAAAAGTCATATTGCCAGAACATTATTCTGAAAGTATTTTAACATAATTGAGAATACCTTTATTACTGTAAACAAAAACTACAGAAATATTTTGGGCCACATTGTTTTGAAATCGTTTCAAAATTTCAGTAAGTTCATTGGCTCCATATATCTCTTTCAAAAAATGTTTGAACTAACTATAACAATCCCATTTTCTAAATTTCATTATTTAAAATGTCTTGATTTGTAACTGTCCCTTATTACATGTAGGTAATGAGAGACCTTTGGTGATGACGTCATTAATCATTGTTATCTTATTAATCAGTTACATCATGACCACAATTTCGTTACAAAATAAAGAGAAAAAATACTAAAGGGAATACAAAAATGTCTGTATGTGTAACATTGTTCATGTTTATGTAAATTATGCAAATGTGCTTAAGGGTCTTCCATTCCCCACACCTACCCTATCTAAATGTGTACCAAACACGATGAAAGATTATGCAGCACAACTGCAATTGTTGCCCCCAAAAAGCATTTAATATGATTTCAACGTGACATAGATTTAAGAAATTGGCATTTGGCTGGCACATATATTTTATTCAAATTAATATGTTTACAGAGGGCGCTATTTCAAAATATGCAAATAAGCTGGTCATCTATGGCCATGCAACATCACAAAACATTTTGTTAGTGATGGTCCTAGAGAAATACAGACATTTGGCTGCCAAAAATTGTAGAAAAATCCTTATTATATATTTATTATTCATTTTTAAAGGAAAATCATGTACTTTGGCGGCCATTTTGTATGAGGTCATATATCTTAAATTGCTCAAGGCTGACAGAGTGTCAGCAATCGGATTCTTGAAAAAGAAGGTCTAGGCAATCAAAATCCATTGAAAAAAAAACTATAGACCCTAAAACAAGGTTAGGCCAATAATCTGCATTTGGCTGCCGGACTAGTTTGTTGCAATCGTATCTCTTCACATAATTTTGTTAAATTTAAGTAGATTTTTTTTTGTGTGGGTCACAGTGAAAATTCCATCTTTTTTAGTCTAATTTCCAGTCACTTGAGAGCATAAAGTCTTCACAAAGGGACTTTTTATAACATTTTAAGTCACATTATAGAACACTTTGAATTCTAGCTTTCCTATTTTTCATTTTCTTGCACAAGAAAAGAAATGAAATCAAAATTTTGATCGAAGTCATGTTCACGCCTTGTGCGCCCGCGGCCGCGCCGCTAGATATAAAGACTAGGTGCTCTTGATTTCGGGAAATTTAGCGTCCCTAGATCGCCAAGACAACGCCGGTCAAGGATCTGATGAAATCCGCATCCAGATGAGCTGAAAGCAGCCCAGTAGGAGCACATCACGTTTATTTCAAATGTCATCATGCCTCGCAACGCTTTGCGCATCAATGTAGATCTGAATATTGAAGCTGTAAGAATTGAATATCGTTTTTTTCTTCATTGGTTTATGCCATTAATTTTATTTTTGTAAGATAAGCTTGTCCCACATGTTAATTTATGTGTAAGTAATGTTTTGTCAAATGAGGCCTGCTCCGCGCGCACGCTCCTGTCGAGCGTCTGGTATGCAGTGGATTTGGTGTTCTTGCCACAACACCGCAGGTTCCGCCTAATGACGTTCTGGACCCTCTTACATCATATTTATTTATAAATATTTACAAGCTCATGTATAGAAATAGACTAGTCTATAAATCTAAATGATGATGAATAGATCTATAATGATGATAATGATGAATGAATGATGATGATAAATATTATTAGCTTTCATGAGAAGTCAGTAGGCTAGAGGGTCTACACCTCCACCGTTAATGGTACCTGACGGATAACATTGTACTTTGTAGTGAGGTATCTGGATTTCACAATCAAATATATTTTCATCCAGTCTAGTTTCATTCAGAGCAACAAATATGGATCACATTTTCACACAAAGTAGCCTTAATTTCATCATACTATTTCAAAAGACTAACAACATTCAGTTTTAAAAATGTTAAAACCTTTGCCGCAAATTTCTTTCAAATCTACACTTTTATTTGAAACAGGATAAATTTTTGCAATACGTAAAACAAAGAAACTTAAATATAACAAATATAGACTATAAATACTCCTTATAAAAGAAAAAATATATCAACGATTCTGTATTGTGCACACCACAAGAAGACGCATGAAGTTTAAACAACATTCAGCATAAAACGCAAATGATAAAACACCTAAAGCCTAGAATTAAGGTTTGAAACTGGGCGGATAAAAGATGATTAAAAGCCAGGATTTTACTCTGCAAATTCTTTATCGAATACAATCACACGCTTGCAATAAAGCTGGGAGGGGGTGAGAAACTACTATTTAACAAATAGTCCTGAGGGATAAAGTGGTTTTCCAACAAAACGTATTTGCATTGGAATAAGCTGGTATAAAAAATGTTCAAGCAATATACATGATACATATATTTAAAGCTTTTTAGTTCACAGTAGGTCTACTTTCACAGTATTTTCACTTTAAGTAATTCAGATTTTGAGGTCCCCAAATTTATCAGATTCTATTCCTTCCTTCCTGGCGTTTGTTTTGTTTTGCAGGTAACTTGTCCTGGTGTTGTGCTGAAAGATCGGCAGGATGTTTACCTTAGTGTATGCATGCTGGGATTCCAAAAGAGGACATTGTGTCTCCCTCCTTTCTTCCCTCTCTTGTTCCATCAGAAGTTCAGATTTGAAAGGGTAAGAAGAATACAACCATTACTTAGATACCATTGTTGGAATTTCTAATCAGAGCAATGAGCAATCAAAACGGGAAAGAATTGCAAAGTGTGTGCCATAGAGTAAATATAGTAGTAAACTCAAAAAGATCCTGACATGATTATGATCTGTTTTCTGCTATATCATACATGTAGATACAATTATACTTGATAATTGATGAGGTAATCCTGCAGCAGCTTTTCCTGCAGCAGCTTTTCCAAGCTATACTGGGATGGGATGTGTTGTGACAGCAGGTGAAGGTGCAGACAACAAAAGGGTGTACAATTTCTTTATACAGTAAAACAGTGACGTGATGAAACTTTAAAATAATCTTGTAGAATAGAGAGAAATAAAACTTTTAAAGATGTGCACCATCACAAAAATCAATGCATGTATGATGTAGGCATGTTTGTAACTGTGATACCTTTTAAGTCGTCAATGGTCTTTGAGTAAGTTCATCAGTATTGTCAAATAATTTCATGTGACTTAAATATAAGATGCTAGGTGGACTCATTATGAAATGCAAATTCAAATAACAGAAGAGATCAACTAGCAATTCCAAAAAGGGAGAGTGCTTCAGTATTCATTATGGGGATTTATACTATCTACATATTTCTGTGGCCTCTTATAAAATAACCGTCCTAGAAATGTTTTCCAAGAAATGCAACCTCTTGTAATTGTTTATTGTCCTTATTTTCAGACTTATGCAAACTGTGGCGACCCCGCACATCTAGCCCATGTTCTTCAGTTTGAGGATGTGTTGATTGAATTGATCCAATTAGATGAAGATCTCAATCAAGATGGGACGGTACTAGCCTTCTATCAGTTATCTACGAGAGATTTCCTCTATCCGGAGGATTCAATGCTGCCTCGTTATGCCGAGTCTGATCGGGCAGTGCTCATGAACAAGAAGATTTGGTTTACGGTGAGTTTTATCAAGGCTCTCATTCACAAGGAAGTTATTTGAAGTAAGAATGAATGTAATAAGAGATGAGATTAAGCGCCAATATTTCAGCTTATAATTAAGAAAAATGAATTGACCTTTGCAAGGTTCTTACAAAGTTCAAGTTCAAGTTCAATATTATTGATCATGCTCAAGGCAATTACAAGGCATAAAATTTGTTTTCTGGCTGTTTCTTCATCAATTTATATAACGTCAACTTAACATACATATACTATCAATCTATACAAAGTACAAAATCAGGAATAAATACAACACATGATAGACATGAGTACAAAAAGGTTTACATGTAGGCTTTGGTATAGAAACATAATAACACAAATTACAACTGTAGACATACCAGAGATCACTACTGGTGATATTATTATATGGTTAAATGGGCAGATTAACAAAGTATAAATGAATGTGCAGTACATCCATACGATTCTGCAACTAACAATTTACAATTAGTAATTACCTCCTGAACCTGTCATTGTACAGTGTCATGGCACATATGAGGAACTTTGTTTTCCAGCCAGCCAGTCATGTCTAGTGATATAGCCTGTTGGTACACTTATCTGTTACTCCTTGCTTTTTCTCATCTTCTTTGCCTTTTATCTCTGACGTGACCCGTCTCCTCCTTGTTACCCATGTACTACTTGTATCTCTTTCTATCTACATCTGTTATATTAATACCTTAATTAACATTTTAATTATCCATCTATTTATATATTTGATTACCATTTATCAATCTTTTTATATTTGATTAACATTTATCCATCTATTTATATATTTGATTAATATTTATCCATCTATTTATATATTTTGTTAACATTTATCCATCTATTTATATGTTTGCCCATTTACAATCCATATACTTCTATCTCATTGATTACCGTAGGGTCTTTCACCTAAGCTGGAGTTTTCATGCAAGACTTCTATTGAAGACACAAGCACTCCAGCCTTGGATTTTTATCGAGATCGTGTTGCTGAGCGTGAAGACGAGGATGAAGATTATGTCACTGTTACACCAACTAAGAGTAGAGGAAGGAAGAAAAAGAGTCTCAAAAGGTACAAGAAAGGATTAACATGACTTGTGTAAATTGATTTATCGACTCGATTTAATGTTTGTGAGCCCTTAACCATCCACTCATTTACAAGCCTGTAAAGTGGTTTGAGACACTTTTATTAAGTGCTTTGGGAAATCCAGAAGACTCCAGATTGTGATTATTATCATAACAATAAGTTTATTGGTTGTTACAATTTGATCTGTTATGAAGAAATTTACTTTACAGCAGAAACAAAAAGAAAAAATTTCATTTGTAGCCCTCAGGAAACATTGCAACTGAAAAAGAAGTCAAGAATGTATAACTACATTTTTTTAATCTGCCTTTTCATGAAATGCTATCTCATTCTTTTCAGTGATGATGTAATGGAACAAGATTTTCACAAAGTTTTAATATAATTAGTTCTGCTCGTAAATTCACTGATAAAAACAGATTATTAACCATTTACCAGGGTAGACACTAACCCAGGACACAAAATCTAAGTTGGAACACCCAAATCTTTCAATTTTTTACTTACGCTTAAAAGTTCAGTGTGGACCCCCTTCCCCCCCAAACAAGTTAGTGTTACTAATGTTTTGTTACTAATGCAATCTTGTTGACATTTTACTATAGAACCAAGAGTTATGAAGCAGCTACCATCTCATCTACAATGAAAGCATCTGCAATGAATAGTTCTGGGATTGAAGATAGACCACCATTCATCATCAAAAGAGTAGGTCAAAACCAGCATGAATTTACACATATGGGACTACAAACAGTACAATAACTATACCACTATGGCACAGGACATTTCCACACATCTTACCGACAATTTTATCTTGCATTGTCGACATGAAGACAAAAAATAAACTTCCTAAAACAACATTTGCCGATAGATCTTGATCTAAGTTCGTGCCAATGCATTGCAAAAGTAAGGGACCGTTTAACGGAGCTGCCACGAAGCATCCAGCCGAAGACGCCATTTTGTTTTCCATTTCATGCAATTTCGCATTACCCGTACATTGCGGTAGTGGTATATATCGGACCCCAAATCTGCCTACGATCACTTTTTTAGCTAAACTTCCGCTAAACTATAAGAATATTGATGAATTTGGTATCAGTTTGTAAAAAAAATAATAGTGTTTTACGAGAAAATTACGATCATTTTTTTTTGTCCGGTTTTTTTTTCTTTCCTTTTTTTTCTCCCTCTTTGAAATGTCAAAGTTGGGGTGCAGCCTATGTGGCACTGCGGCCTTATCGCCGGCAAATACGGTATGTAGTTTGATGCAAAAAAATGCTGTTTTTTATAGGTGTGTTGATTGTTGTTTGTTGTTTTATTAACCTTACTGTGCATTGTACAGATTGCTGTAAGTGAAGCATTGAATTAAATTTTCCTTTAAAGATATAATTTGCATGTTTCTCACAAAGACAAAATTTGAAGAAATATTGTTTTATGAGAGCCAGAATGGCATCAACTCAAAACTGTTGACACTTCTTGCTCCCAAGTCTCAACAAACTTTGCTTCCTAATTTTCTGTGAGAAATTACATTGAGAGATCGATAATTGTCGTTTGCAAGGTTATGATTTTAAAGTAATTAGGAGTTACAAATACTAAAGCCTTAGTTTTGTGTCTATTTTCCCCTTTTTCCCAATTCTAGCAAGACAGTTATAACCGAGCTACCTCACCATATAGAGCTAGATCTCCATCACCACGGCGACCAGCATCGGCCCCGCCCAATCGCCCTCCAAGGACGCCCATCTCTTTCAGAACAGGTCCTCCAGAAATCACTGGGAACTCCTCTGGTAAGACAGCTTCCTATAAAGCAGATGCACTTACTGTGTGCCTAGCTTACAAGCATCAGTCACACCGATTCCAAACTGATCGATTCTTGACCATTAGGTTAATGTATTATTTTCGTTGAATCTGGTGTCATTTCCATTGGTGTGACTGGGATATTGACTTTTCCTTTTTTGTTCAGACCAGACAAGCATTTCCAATTAATGCATTGGCAATATGAGAAATGGGCATAGGCATTTTTTAATTACTTGTAGCTGACCTCCTTGGCCCGACTTCACAAAGAATGTTTAAATCTAATCCATGGTTTAAATCTTCATTTACGTAACCTATGGTCTAAATTAGCCCCAAATAAGTGTGACACAGTAAGAGGTCCAATTAGAAGCCCCCAAGGAAAGGTAAGCTTAATTTGCGCTAATTTCAAAACATGGGTTATGTTAATGAGGGTTTAAACCATGGGTTAAATTTAAACCTCCTTTGTGTATTTGGGCCCTCATCTTTATGCAGAGTTTAACTGTTTTAGACAGATTTCAACTACATTTTGACATATTTAAGATGTCACCCCCTTTAAGAAAAAATAATCATAGTTTGGTAGATTCAAAACATATTTATTTCCAAAGAAACTTTGCTTTTGTTTTATACAAGCATATTGTAAATATTGTGCCTACTGTTAACTGTTCAAGTGCATGACTGCTCCTGCTAGGTTCTTGATAGCAGACATTATTAATTAATTAAATGCATTTGTGTGTTAAAAATTGACTTGGTATTCTGTGAGACATATGATTCCAAAGGAGTCTTTCTATTGCTTTACAATTTACCTAGTAACACCTCTAAATCCACTTATGTACAAGTGCCCTCTTTTCTTTTTTTAACTAGAGTACATCTCTGAAGCTGACTGTCGGATCTGTAGGATCTACCAGCGTTACTTTGGACGACGTTACTGGGGCCATAAGAAATACTTTCATCCTAACAATGGAATCAAATACAGATCCTCAGAGGTAAGATCCCTACACAACCATTGCTTGTCCACAATGTAAAGTTTAGAATGCAGACTACAGTCAAGAACACAGTGCCTAGTATGTATCCTTCCACACCGACACCATGCAAATTACCCATGTTTGAGAAAATAATTGCAGTTAACTCTGATAGGTGCAAGAATAAAATCCCCAGTGCATCTTAGTTTTAAGCTAATATTTAATTTTGTGATAAATTTATGCTACAGGACATTGCTGATCAAACACCAACAGGCAACCGAGACACAAGGGTTCCTGAAATCTAAGTCCAGACTTCAAAATCTCAAAATGTTAACATAGAGCTATATGTACATAGATGCTAAAAAAAAGTTTCTGTGGAGCCCTCTATAGTATAAGTGTTTATATTGACTGGTAATTTATTTAGAAATGAAGTAGACACATATTACAGGTTAATGTTATGGTTATTTTGTTGTTTCCATGCAGGCCATTCGGAACACAAGGAGAGATGAGGAACTTGAGAGAATCCTAAATGACAGAGTACTAGTAACTGATGGAGATAGCGAGAGTACAGAAGGTAAGAAGGTCACTTTTGCTATCAAGAGTTGAGGGTTTGAATCCTAGCCCAACGCAGGGTTGAGAGTTCAAATCCCAGCTCGACAATAACGTCCTTTGGCAATCAAGTCATTAATCCACATTTGCCACTCTGCACCCAGGTGTATAGAGCGCTACCCGTTTGGCTGCCAGCTATGACCGGGGTAATAATGTTGGAGCACCAAGAGCGTTGCATCTTGATGGACATAAATGTGCATTTCTTAAGAAGTCATTAGCATCATCATTTTTATTATAAAAACACTGAGAAAAATTGTGGATCGATACACAAAATTAATACTCTGTTTTAATTCAAGCGCTTGCCACATTATGATGTAATTTCCCACCATGCATCCGTAGTGCTTTATTATTTACTTTTCTAGCTTAATTAAGCTCTTGGAGCTGCTAATAGTTTACAGTGCATTTTGAAGATTAAATCCTGATCCAGGTATACATTTTAGTACATGTACCTTGATTGATATATAGATCTATATTGTGATCACACCAGAAATATAGCAAAGAAGAATATGCTTCTTATAATGGAAATAATTGTGTTGTTACACAATGAATTATAAACCATTCATATATTTTTGTTTCTTTGATAGATCTGATAGATTCAATGCGTGACCTATCAGTTACCCTACCTCCAGTACCAAGCGCAGACGTAGACTATGCTCGCCTACCGTATTCTCCACGGCTCTCCCGTTCACCACGCCTATCTCGGTCCAGGTCTAGATCCCCATCGCTGTTGTTGTCTAGATCCAGATCCAGGTCCAGATCTCTGAGTCCCTCCAGGAGGTACGCTAGGTCTCGTTCACGCTCCCTCAGTCCCATCTTGGTGAGGGCTTCTCTAAGGGAACGGTTAAGTCCTAGACTTGGATCACCAACCCATGCCGACATCATACATCATAGAGTGCAGAGAGCTCTAGATAGCAATTACGTGAGTAACTCAGAGTCATTCTTTGAATAATGTCTTATTATTTTAAAAGTCTGTCACTAAAATATCATTTATCATGTCTGCCTGATATGAATACAGCTGATACACTTACTTTAGAGTAAACTTATCTCAGTGATAAGTAACATATTGCTTGAACTGCATATCAATAACAGAAAATAACAGAAAAAAATTTGATTGTTATCCAGCGTTTTTTATGCTGTCTGTTAGTTCAATAGGGAGACACTGATATTTTCCTCATCCATTTTTGATACAAATTTCATATGTTTGTTAGATTTTTCTTGACATCCTATCCCTTAGTTTCCATCTCCTCCCTGTTTTATTTGTTTTTATTTGATTCGTTTGATCTGTTGGTTACAGACTTGTTCTGGGGGGTGTTTCACTAAGACTAAAATCAACTCAACTTATTTGGACTTGAACTATTCCTCTAACCATTACTGGCCTTGGTTTCTCAAGGGAGGCACAAATCGTGGTCACAAATATACAGACTTTACCTTTGTTGGTATATAGTTTGTGAATGAAAAAATATCATCTAAAGATCATAATTGAGACCAATGATGAGAGCAACCAGTGGCATGAATGGCCTGCCATACTTCAAGTCCAACTTAAGTCAATCTTAGTCTTTGTGAAACACCCCCTGGTACGAACCAGTTAGTTCTCAATTAGCAAAGTAATGAATTTACCTTGTCAAATTCATGGCCTTTAATGTTTAACTTTCTAATTTATTCCATTTTTTGTTCTGATTTCATGTAGTTGGATGATTCTGATGATTCTGTGACCTCAGAGGAAGCACTTGGTGCCCTGAGGTCATCTCTTCGTGGTGATTCTTTACGCAGCTTTAGGTATTCCACCCTGTATTGATCACTGTTCAATCACGTTTTGTGAGGTTTGTTTTTATGGTTTTACACATTATTTTTACAAGTATGCTCATGCACTAAATCTATGTTTGCATTGATATTTTCTTTCTTTGACCCTTAAATTGATTTTGTTTTTTACTTTATTCGATTTAGTTTTCATTTGAGACATTTAATCTTCTGTTTGATTGTTTATTTCTGCACCCCCCCCCCCCCCTGGCCTCTGTAGTCTTTGATCTCTCTTTCTCTTCTTTATTATGGGCAAAGATGGTCAGAGTTATGTTGTTCCATTGAAATGACTACCAAAGTCAAATATTTCTTGTTATGGCACACCCATCTTGGTAATTGACATTGTTTATAAAAGACATGATTTTTTTTTTTAATGGCTACTAAAAATGTGCAACAGTGTTATGTCTAACAAATATTTCTATTCAAAGTTCTGTGTTATATGTTTGATGGCAGTGAAGTACTGGTATGGCTTGTAATAATAATCATTACAAATTACTTTATGGGTGATTTAATACTCTACTATGAAGGTTTAAGCATATAATTTGTTTTTAATTGTAAGTTGTCTCTTGCCCTCTTGTATGTGTTACTGAATGACACGTGTATTGTCACATAGATGCAAATTTAATTTACACCAGGAGAGTAGATTCTGCCAACATAGGCTTAATTATTTTAGTTTCTTTAACTATTTACATGCAAATATAATCTCCATTTGCCACATGGTATTCATCATAGGATAGATATATATACCAAAGGGTTCACAATTATTTAACTGTTTCCTGTACAAGAATATATTGCTCTCATTATGACAATATTGGACTCGTCTCTGGCTCGTTCAATATTGTAATAGCTCGAGCAATATATTCTTGTATCACACTCAAAGCCATTCAATATTATATAATTATTTAGTTAATGTTTGTTGTGTTTGTATTACAGTGTATCAACAGACCTAGGGGATGGTCACTATCTATCTACAAGGAGTTCTGAGCTGTGTGGTAAGACTCATCGTCAGCTGTTTGAAGACTCTTTAGCTAGGATCTATCGCAGGCTACATAAGAAGATTAGGACCAATACCTACTAGTTAACGGCCAAGCACAAACAATTAAATGGGAAATCTACATACATGTAACCTTTTCTTCTTCTACTTGTTCTCCCTCCGCTTGTGTCGGAGATCAGCAACAGGGTGTTGCATATAGATATATCCATATAGGCAGGTCAATTAGTAATTATTATACCATCTAGGTATCTATTTTAAGCGTTGATTGCACTTTCAAATTTGTATAAGTAACAATGACATTCAAATTCTTTTCGTGGAGATGAATAAAGATGTAATGTCAGAAACAACAGATAATTTATTGATATAAATATAATATGTAAAAATATAATATGTAATCAATCTTTAATGAAATAGCATATAGTATTGTTTATACTGATTAATGAAGTGACAGATCTCCATTTTCTGTGATTATCAGAACTCAAGATTCAGGCAATGATTGTCTGTCAAGTGAATAAACGCTAAACGATGGTGGTGCATCCCTTGTAAGTTCATGTACCCAGAGCAAAATTTAACTACCAGGTAAAGACAATTTTTGCAATGAAAAGTCTTTGCAATAACCTTTCAAGTAGAAAATAGAGATAGAGTGAGGAAAAGTATAATGTGTTTGTGTTTTTTTGTTTTGTAAAGTGATATGGCAGGGTGTCATGGTAAAAAGCATCTATACTAGTTTACATCCGTAATTGAAGTTTTTAAGGATTTTTCGCCTTAATGGTCAATTTTTGATGCCTATTCAGACTAATAATGTTGATTACCATGGGATACATAATATCTTAGACAACATTTGTATGTTACATTATTGAAGAAAGTGCTGCAACAATTTCAGATTCGTCTTATGTTATAGTAAGTTTGATGTCGACCCCAGCCACTAGCTTACTTTAAAATGAATTTATATTATAGCTGATTATTGCTGTTAATGTTAATTATTTCTTCTTTGCTGCTGCTTCTTTGTTTTGCAATTATAGGTAATTCTTTTAAAACTGAAATGGAACAGTAAATTCCTCATGCATTTGTACAATCATATTGCAGGACAATTGATAATTAGAAACAATAATTCCAAATTGAATATACATTATATTATAGAGATGTAAATATTGGTTGTTTTTATTTCTGCATTTTGATGAATCTTAATCTGTAGGCAGGCTGGCCCTTTGGCTATTGTTGATAGAACTAGACATGTATACAGTTTTTAGATTAAGATACTGTTTAGTAGTTATAAAGATAACATTCAAATTTAATACAACTAATTGTTATTGACCCCCAAAAATGTAATTAGGAATCAGCTGTTATGATGAATTCTCCCAAAATTAAATATGTAGATAATGCTAAAAGTTCAATACATATATATTTCTGTGTGAATTTAGCAATTGAATAGACAACTGTTAAAAAGATATGAGAGTATATTTATCATAAATAAGGCCAAATTTTAATTGTTTATCTATTTAATGTGAGCCATGTTTTTTATTAGCATTTTCAACTAGTTTTTAATCCAAAGTGTGATGTAGTTCTATGGCTAGAATTGGTTTATAACTTTGATATATCAAGACAGTAAGCTGTATTCAATATTACAGTAATCACAGTGTGCTTGGGTATCACTTCTTATTTCTTTTACTCTTTAATACAAATATTACAAGAAGAAATTTTGTACAGCATTTAAAGGTTTGATCAAGTAGAAGGATGTGTGTAGAAGTCATCAATGTTAACAGAACTGATTGGATATATAGTTGAAACTATATAGACTCAAACAAGATATATAGTTTGCAGAGATGTAGCATGATGTTTCTTTGATGTTACTTTGATGTTGAAATGTAAAGATAAACTTATTTGACAAAATTAACATGATAGTTGTATCAAAGTATTATAGTTACTACAGGAAATTTTATGTAATTATGTCTAGTTGTTGGAAGTTTATTCAGTGCATTCCCTTTATGAGTATGTAGACAGAACATTTTCTGTGTGGCTTGTGTAATTAGAGAGGGCCTTCATAAATAGTACATGTTTATGTTATGTTATGTTCCTTCTATATTTTTGACAAAATTAACATGATAGTTGTATCAAAGTATTAGTTACATCAGGAAATTTATGAAATTGATTAACAGTATAATAGTACAGGTCGTTGTGTCCAATGACACCACATTTTCACTGATTAAATAAAATGTGTTATTATAAATGTATGGAGTTAATAGCCCGAGTACACCTAACTTTGATCAGACAAATATAAAGTGAAGTGATAATTTAAATGATAATTCACTCTTGGTAGCATATATGAGACCAAATAATTTAAATTATTTTGACTTTTCTACTAGTGTTTGAAATAGTGCACCCATGACATCAAGTTGTGTATGAGAAAAAGTCATTTCTAAACACTTTTTGAAATGATAAACAAGAGATGTAACTGAGGCTTGTGGTGGACCAATATGCCTTTCAACACAACAGTATGACGCAAAATACCTCAGTGTGTTTGTGGAATACATGTCTGTCACAGTAATGTCAGGTACAGCAGATTAATACAGCAAAATTTGATTCCATTGTGTCTTTTAATAGAATTTTGATTCAAATGGATTCCAGATCAATTAATTGATGCTATTTTAACAATTTCCAAGAAATTGCATTGTTTTGAACTACAAGTAGTGGTATATACTACAGATTTTGAGTAATCAACTACATTTTGATAAAAGGGGTTCAATTGCAAACAAATAACAGTCTCTTTCTTAGTGTACATTGATAATTAAAAACAAAACAAATGTTTTTAGTTGTAGTTCAATATCAACAGAGGCTATTCATGTTATTTATTTTGCCATTCATTTTGATTTACCTAATTGTAGCTGTGTGGAGTAGTATATATAAGAAGTCGTGCTGTGCCGCCAAATGTAGAATAATTCTTCACAATTAATTAACAAACTAATGATATGCAAAATAGTTTGTAATAGTTTAGGAAACCAGATGAAATTATTGAGAACATATACGTACATGTTGTGTGCATATAGATATAAAGAAAATGAATAAAGAATTGAATTATTAAACAAAATGATTTCCTGTGATGTTTCATTGGTCATCTCATATTTTTATTTACCCCCAAACTTCATTATGAATGGGAAGTCCAGCGTGACATGAAGTTATAGAGGTAGCAAATGAGAGGAACTAATCAGTGAGAGTTTGGGCGAAATCTGATAGAAAAGAAAAAAGATAAAAATTTAAAATGTTAAAAAAATCCAACAGTCCTCTCACTTTTGCCTGTACTATTATGAAATCATGAACTTTTAATATCACAAGCATGCAGAGATTGCAAATGAGGTTTTTTACAAAAATCGATTCCTTCAGCAACAACCAAGACACTGGGAACTTTAATACAGAGCAAATATACGTCAAACGAACATGCCAATTTATTTTTGACTGATAACAACTTCAATTATGATTCTTTAAAAAAAATATCAAACTATTCAAAAATATATTCATATGGACACTTAGCTTGGCATTCCATACTTAGTCATACGGTGGACTACAATTTTGTGCGCTTTTGATTGACTTTTCGCCAGTTCTGAAGTTTTCATGATGGCCTCCTCTGCGTTGATTGTTGATGGAAGCCTTAAAGAGGGGGTAAGTCCCTGTTTAATGTTAATCAACAGACATAATGAACTGGGCATCGATAGACAATTCTCTGAATAAAAAGTGAATTAAGAAAAATAAGAAAAACATGGTCGGACCCACACATACAGGTAGGTGCATTACTATCCTGGCTGTGTATTAAAAGCTGTGTTATTGATTCTCAACATTTCAAACGCCATTGTACAAAACTCAACTGATTTCACTCAAAATGAGTACTTTAGTGACGATTGATGACACCTAAATAGCAGTAAAATACCATTTTTTCAACTTTCCGATGTTAGAAAGAATAATTTAAAAATTCAAATTGTGAGTCCACTGTCAAACTTGCCGATCAGCCGCGTCGGCATGATTGTGCGGATCTGGATGTAATGAGTGTATTAACTGTTCATGTATTCAAATGCTGGCTATAACAGGTAGTGCAGTGCTAGAGGTCAATACGCATTAGCATTGACTCTCTAGCTATGCTTTGCTGGAGTGGTCGACCAAAATGCCATAGGGCCTAGACTCTAGTCTAGATCTAATTACAATAGTCGATATCATGATCATTAGATCTAGACTCTACAGTAGACCTACAGGATGTTTGTTGTAAGATGGTGGTTAATTTAAAGCCAATTAAAGGTAATACACAGTTTTGGTATGGGGTCATGAACATGGTTCAAATGAACATATTGGAAGCATAGGTCTATGTGATCCTACAATATTCAGTGATTGTTATCGCGGTTGAAATATCGAGTCCAAAGTTATGAAATTATAAAAAATAAACTCGTCATGTTGTGCAGCTCCCTCTCAAGGTCAATATTGAATTGAACTGGAAGCCCGACTGCTGAGATCACAGCATTCTTCCAGAATCTCGGGTAAAGGTAAAGGTAATATATTATAAGCTATACAACAATGTTTCTTGACTAAAATCAACCGATTAGCTATTCCCGTTCGGAAATTATAGAGCGAATATTCATGTCAATGTTAGACTTTTATCTTTAATTAAAATTCAATTTCATATTGCAATTGACAGTGTATGGAAAGAGGGGGGGGGGGGCAATTCAATGGTTACACATTTTGCAGACCTGACTTATTCAAGACAATTAACAATTATAATTCCATTATATGCCACACAAACAAATCTTATTAATGTTTCTAATTTTTAATATTTTTAGTTTGTTTGTTTTTCCATTTTCTTTACTTCACCAGGGTGGACAAATTCTACGTATAGCTACTGCTTTGAGCTGCTTGTGCAAAAAACCCATTACAGTAAACAACATACGGGCCAACAGAAGTAAACCAGGATTGAGGTAAGTCAAATAATAATAATAATAGTGTAAACTTATAGAGCGCACACACCGTCCATGGCGCTATAGCTGAAATGAACAACCCCTTCTTTGAAATATTAATGAAAATGATAAAGCATGTCTATAATGTAGATATTGATTTTGCTTTTGGTATTTTGTGAAAAAACTATTTGGCAAAAAAATATTGATGAAATTGTTACAATTACCTTTTGGAGCTTATATAAAATGATAATTTTGAAAAACGAAAAGGGGAAAGATGAAAGGAAAAAAATGTATGGTATATTTTTGTTGAAAGAAGTTAAAATATGTTTAGACATCAATGCAGCTCTGTTAAAAAAGGCAAACAAAAACTGTATAATAAACCTGACTTGATAGATATGTACAAATTATTATAGTTATGTTAAACAAAAATGTATATTTGTTTGATTATTTGTTTGAATAAATACACCTGTTACGGGTGAACAAAACGAAATAGTTGAGACATTCACAAAACACTTTCTCTTGAATCTACAATGTTATTTAGACCACAGCACCTGAGTGGAGTCCAGCTTGTGAGTAGGGTCTGTGGAGGAGCATTAAAAGGAGATGCGGTTGGATCATCTGAGATTACGTTCACTCCTGGAACGATTGCAGCTGGTAGATATACAGCTGATACAGGGACAGCCGGGTAAGTTTGTGTTAGTTTATCAGTTTCTATTTTTTATTCATTATGAGAGCTAGGTAGAGAGAAGGTCTTTAGAATGCATCTCAACTCATGGCCAAAGTCACTAATCATTGTAAGAATGTTATGTCAAAAACTACATCGATTTCTTCAACACTGTCCATTGTTCATTGTCCAGTCCTATGGATGTTATGAAATTCTATTGTTAAAAAGACTAGTTTAGTAAGTATGTGTTTCATTAAAATGTTAGATTAATAACATTAGCATACTTTTGGAGACAAAGGATGCCATTACAGGAGCAAAATTTAGGTAGTCATTTGAGCTTTATTTACAAGATGCAGATAAGTATTACTTTGATTGATGAATGATACAGATTTGTACACACATTTATTGGTGTGCTTTGGAAAAGAACATCTGGAATTTCTGTCTAATTTTGCTTTGATACTGATTGCAGTATTGATGATTATGGCTCAGGGCCAGGGATCATTATTAAATGCCATGCTAGATGAAATAAATATTGATATCTCTTTATCTCCCTCCCATTCTCTCTCTCCTGCCCCCTTCTCTCTCTCCCCCCCCCCCCCCCCCCCTCCCCCTTCCTCTCTCTTCCCCTCTTCTCCCCTTCTCTCTCCTCTTTCTCTCTTTCTCTCTCCTCTTCTCTCTCTCCTCTTCTCTCTTCCCCTCTCTATCTCTCTCTCTGTTCCTCTCATCCTTGCGTATAATAGGAGTGTTGTACTCCTGATGCAGGTTTCCTTTCCCTGTTTACTCTATGCGTCGGGTGACACCCATGTGACCTTAAAAGGAGGTACTAATGCCGAGATGGCTCCTCAGATAGACTACATGAACATGGTCTTTCAGCCGATTGCACACAAGTTTGGAATCGACTATGATTGTAGAATCGTTAGAAGGTGAGCACTCCAGCCAACGTCCATTTTTCCCGTAACCTAGCCATCCTAGAATGCATATTAATATTTGAACATATGAATATTTGCGTTGGTATGGTGAGGTGGAGATCAAATTCAAAACTAAATTGGCCAGATTCTGGAATAAATTAACCTGTATGTCGCAATGACAAGTTACGACCTGGGTAGTCATTCGTTTATGGTAAGCCTCCCGATTTTGTCGCAATGTCACTTATTTAAAGTAAACTTTGCTTTGCATTTGTAATTTTTGTATGACATTTCATATTTGATAAATTATCGCATCAGATTCTGTGTGCGTGCGTATCATGAATATTGATGACTGGTGCATGAGGTATAGGTCCAATTTAGCCAATCAAATGCAGTGACAGGATGATGGCTAGGTTACGTAAAAAAAGACGCCTTCCGCCATTACTTCTCCTCTTGCTTCATAGGTATCCTTCTGGGGGCAGTATTGTTTCACGAAACCGCCATAAATGTAGATACAATTATATTACCGACATCCCATTGAAATATGCCATCCTACTATATATATCCATAGAACAGGTCGCTTCAAATAAAACAAGAGACCTCAATAATAAGTTTACCTACAAGTAAAGTAAAATAAGCCTAAATTACTTCTTTCCCCTTTCGCTTCTTTAGGAGAAGACAAAAAGGAGGAATGAATAAAGAAATATAATGTATGTATGTATGTATATAGGCCTACATAGGCCCTATATAATATGAAAGAAAAATTTTCAATTTGTTCTATTTTTATGCATAGATACTAACAAAAAGCCCACTTTAATGTTTGCTTACAAATAGTGATAATGTGATAAGATGTGGATAACAATTTACTTGAATGGATTGGAAATTTGGTTCAGGAGCGCCCCTGTACGAGGGGGAGGGGAGGGAAGGAGAAGGAGAAAGAGATAAAAGTGTTAAAGATTAGGAATGAATTTCAAATATAACTTCTTCCTTTTTCTTTACTCCTTACAACATGAATCTTTAGGCATTATGTAATTTGCCATTAATTTGAATTTAAGCAGTAATTCACATATCAATTGATAGTCTGTTGTTAGGTACGCCATCATAAAGTTTTGCATTGATGAAATGTCTGTATTTTCAATATTTATTTTAATAATAATTCTCTCTGATTCTGTTTTTAAATATCCAGAGGTTATTTTCCCAAGGGAGGTGGTGAGATCCAGGTAACAGCCAAACCAGTCCATGACCTTTCACCTATAAGCCTGACAGAGGTCGGAACGATCACCAGAGTAAGAGGAAGAGCTTTTGTAGCTGGCACCTTGCCTAGGAAGGTAATTCACTAGTGATTTTGTAAGATGTAACATAATAATAATAATAATAACAGCTCACATTTATAATGCGCCTAATACTTTGTTTCTAGGCGCAGCACATATTAATACCCCTGTCATCGGATTCAGGCTTTCCCGCAACACAAGGTATGCACATTTTCCACTCCCTGGGGAGCATTCCAGCCAGTCGCCATTTTACAAGCGCCACCTGCTAATCCAACCACATTAACTTTCGCATCCTACCGGGTACCCATTTAACACCTGGGTGGAGAGTGGCAAATGTAGATCAATGTCTTGCCAAAGGACATTAGTGCCGGCGGGACTTGAACCATGGACCTTGTGATCCACAGTCCAGTGACATATCCACATACATATAAATGGGTTACAAATGAACTGTTTCAGGCTTACAAAAAGTCAGAGCATAGTCATATCCCTCCTGTCGACACTTTAGCAGTTGAAATTCAGTTTCCAGATGAAGGGAAATGCTGTTAGCCTATAGTATATGATATATGTTTACTAGGATTTAAAGTATTAAATCACGCATCATGGCTCTTCATAGTACCAGGGCAACTAATTAATTCATATATTAGTGTCTATGGGTGGTATTCTCATAAGTTAAGCCAGGACTAAGTCCAGACTAAACAAGAATTTTAGTTCACACTTCTATGGAATGCTAGGTTTCATCTTCCTCCTTCAATATTCATGACAAGGATAATCTACCAAAGACTTTGTTGAAATTCAGTTCATACTCTTTTTCTTCCCATTTCATTGCAAAATTAATTTTTTGGACGCTTTTCATTGAAGGATTAAAATAATCTGTTCAGGGTAAATTAGTTCACAACAGGCACTCCATAAAAGTGTGAACTAACTAAGCACGCGCTAACTTGGTACGCGCTACCGGAATACCACCCATTCTCTCTCTCTCTCTCTCTCTCTCTCTCTCTCTCTCTCTTACTCTCTCTCTCTTACACTGTATCTTCTCTTTCTGTTAATTATTTATTTTGTGTAATGTAGCTATCCCAGATCATGAGTAATACAGCAAGCAGGTGATAGCAGGTGATCGATCCGACCTCTGTCAGGGCTATAGGTTGAAAGGTCATGGACTGTAAATTATGTAGTTGGTTGTTTGATGCCACCATATATTCATATCATATTTTCTCTTTCTGTTAATTTTGTATTTTGTGTATTGTAGCTATCCCAGATCATGAGTAATACAGCAAGCAGTGTCATCAAGAAAGCTTATCCTGGTGTAGATGTTCAGGTTGAATCGGTCCAGGAGCCGCACGGAGCAGCATTTGGAAATGGATCAGGAATCATGTGAGTTTCTCTTTCATAAATCATAAAGAAACAGAATTATTGATCCTGTACAACCAAATAATGTTGTGTGTAATTGGGTTTCTACAGACATGTACCATTTTTTGGCCCTATAGCACAAAACTTACCACTGGTAACTTTGCCGTCAATGGTGACCACCTTGGAAACCTTGATTTTGATTGGCTGTTGAGCCCTGTTACCATGGTAGTTGCCATTGATGTCAAAGTTACAATCATAAGTAAGTTTTATGCAACGGGCCCTGATATGATTATTTACATCTGGGGACCGACCTTTAACGTCACCATCTGAAAGACGTGACTCAGTTTCAGACCAGGGTCCGCTTGAGCCAGTTTGTAGGCGAAGACAGAGAGCTGACCTAGTGAACGTACCGCTAGACCAACTCACATCTGCTTTTTGCTTGAAGGAAACTTTCACAAGTTCGATGAGTGGTCCAGATTGGCATATAAAGTAAAATGCTGTGAGTTAAATCAATAACATCGGGGAATCACAACAGTTTCTCACTTCATATATTACTGTTTTTGTATTCTTTGTTTTGTTCGATAGAGTTGTAGCAGAGACTAGTACTGGCTGCAGACTGGCAGGTTCTAGTCTTGGAAAAAGAGGTGAGACTTATAAAAACATAATAAATATATTTATATGTATGGGATTTAGTGCATTTGACTTATTATGAAAGAGTAAAAGGGAGGTCTATCATATGAATTTCTCTTTGAGAAGGTTTGGTTGCATGGGGTTGTTAGTCTTAGCTGAAAATGACACTTGATGAATATGACTGTATCCAGAAAATCACATGAGGCCTGCCAGTGAGCCACATGACTTGTATTTGATATATGCTAAGATGTCCATATTGAGAGGAGTATTTAGATTAGTGTCCTTCCAATAAGGGATAATCTTGATTACATACAGTAAATTTGTGTAATGTAATAGATTAAAGAATGGATTTTTTTTTTCAAAATGAAAGGAAAATCACTCTTTTTCATATTTTAGATTTTGAAAACTTTTCAAAATGACCTAATATCCTTTCACGTTATGTTATCCTTTCGATCTGTTATGTCTTAGACTTTTTAAAGCATGTGACTGAAACATTCAAATTCAAACAAAAAATTGTAACAATAGAATTACTCTGCATGGATGGATTTTCCAACATGAAATAATGCATTGAAAGTGCATTACAGAATGACTGATGTATGAAGCAAGTTGGTAGAATGATTTTATTTATTTTGATATTTTTGTTTATCTGTTTATTTTCCAAGGTAAACAAGCTGAAGATGTAGGGCGTGAAGCAGCAGATGAATTGCTGAAGAATCTTCAACACGGAGGCTGTGTTGATGAATACCTACAAGATCAGGTCAGTACATTACATTACAAAATCTTTACAGGCCAATTAAAACCTGAAAGTGGAAACACCCTCGTTATTGATTGACGGTAACATTCTTCCTACAAAATATATTATTTATGAAATGTTGCATGAGTTTTTTTCTGTCTTTGTTTTTGTTATTGTTTGTTTTGTTTATGGGAGAATATACATGTAATTCTGCAAGTGTAAGGAATGGTGATTTTGAATTGATTGTGTTGCCGAATTCCATATTGGAATGAGTATGTTGAAATTCATGTAGTGTGCTAATTTTTGAGGGTTTGCTTGATATTTCTTTCAGCTCATCATTTTCATGGCGTTAGCAAAAGGTCAATCCAGAGTGCGAACAGGCCCCATCACACAACACACAGAGACGGCTATCCACATAGCAGAGCTACTTACTGAGGTAATATTATCTTCATGTGAATTGGGTTTGAAACCCACTTTAAGTTACTGAAAGGATTTCACTCAATATTTACCACATAATAATAATAATAATCTTTTAAAGTCCACTCCAAATTTTATTAAGTTAAACCGAAAATGGAAATTCTTTTTGCCCAATTGATCGTGAGCCCGGCAGCCACTGAGCAGCGCCAGATCGACGTTGCTCTATCCCTTATTGTTGAACGCGAAACAAGGTAGCAGCATCTCCCGTATTTTAACTTCTTTTGGTATGACGCGGCCGGGTTCGAACCCACGACCTCCCAGTTGTACTCTTTGTAATAATAATAATAATGTCAGGCTCATATAGCACATAATATGTTGCCATCTCTATGTGCTTAACATAGCAAAAGAACAAACTTGTATCTTATATAACATTTGAAAAAGCTACAGTAACTTAATTACATCAGTTAAGAAAGTATGGCAATAGTACATGAAGATTCTAGATACAATACTTGATTGAAAACAGCAAACAAAATTAAGATTAAAGGAGAAGGTATAACGTGATGAAATATTATTTAGTCTTATTCAAATCTCTTTTTGTCTCCCTATCTCTCTACCAGGCCAAGTTCAGCATATCACCATTAACAGATGGTTCAGGAGAAGGAGCTAACATGATAGAATGTACCGGTATAGGTCTACCTAACAAACAACTCACTTGAACATCATCATCATCTTCTTCTCATGCATGCTATATCTGGTGTGGTCACTCCATTATAAAGATAAAGTTGAGTTGTGGTCATGCGATTGCATTGTGAAAGAAACGTTGTGGAATGGATCAGAAAAGGTTGATCATCTGGCATATAAGTATGTGTGTGTATGGCAAGGTTCTAGAATCATCAAAATGATAAGAAATTTGGCCAAGTCTTGGTAAAGTAATACACACTGTACACAGAACACGTGTCATAAAAATCTGTCCCGATTTTTAAGATGTTACATGCCATATTTAGAATATGAAGGCATTTGAAGAGCCATACTTTTCAGGGAACATGTTTTATCTGATGTTCTTCCACACTTGCATAATAACAATGATAACGCTCACAGGCACAAATTATTTTCACCTCTTCCCAGAACTCAACTTTATCTTTAAGTAGAGTAAGTTGAATCTTCGTGTAAGAATGGCTGATACCTATGTTCAGTACGGTTTGACTTGAAGACCCTAACGGATGAAAATTCAACTTGATATCGATGGAAAGCTGAATGAACATAGAATACAAACACAAAGGAATCATTTTGTTTTTCCCTTTCAGTTTTGCACAAGAGCAAATTAAAACCTTATTTTTCACATCCCTTAGAATTACAGGTTAACGGGTCAAATTTGCTGTAGTTACGGTGTAGACCTAATATGTGAACCTGATTGGCTCACAAAATATAGCTGAGGTGTTGAGCCATTGTGAATATGTGCACTCCAGCCGTTTATTTTATCTTGTTATTAATTATTCTATTTGTTATTATATTACTGAATGCATGATGTCTTTTTATACGGAAATAAAACAAACAAACAAACAAACAAACAAACTCCACATAAGATGATGTCATCAAGTCAATAGCTATTTTTTAAGGTAGACAACTTTTGATTTTCAAAGTTTTAGATTTTGAGTTTTTAGAGTTACTCCTCTGACAGCAGCCACTAAAATAGCATACAATTGATAATATTGTAATGTATTAGCATAAAAGCTTTTGGTATAAAATTCATTTTCACTTCCAACAGAGTATTTACAGCAGGAGCATACACCATGATATGAGAGGTTACTAGCTATTAAAATGTATGTTTATATGTAATAAACCTTCAGTCGTCCTTAGAATGTTATTCCTCATCAATAAAAATGGGTATTTTGCATGTTTTGAGCTATAGAGGAAAACCAAATTTTTTTTGAAAAATCATGTAAACTGTAACGTGTTTGTTTGTAGCACTCATACTAAAAAAGGTTTGATTACTCTTTGCTGGCACAGATTTGTGTTGAAGCCTCTCAAACCTTCTCAAGTCTTTGTTTGTATAACCAGAGGTAGAACTGCATGATGTTCCGATAAAATCGAAATGCTGTGATATTGAGAAAGAAACGAGCATTCAATATCCAGTATTACCATTCAATGGCATTATTCAATATTAATTTCATTTCATTTTCATTTGTTCTTTATTCGTATGAAAAGCACATATATTTCCTTATAGCTGTACTGTGCTGAAGGATATATCAGCATGTTTTAAACCATTATAAATGGAGTAGAAGAGTATCGAATTCAATAAAGGATGCAATTGACAACAGAACTGTTTCTTTTCATAGTGCAATAAAGTCATGCCTCTTTTGACCCAAGGTTTGATGGATACTTGCCTTTGTTAAGAGTCTCTGGGGCATTAACACTGTTCAAGTACTAGAGTTTACCCCCTCTTATGATTATTATTATTTAGTATTTGGCGTCACCTGTGCCTGGGAGGCGAAAAGCTGAATCGCTGTAACCCTCGAGTCTCTCCTCCCGAAATAACTGATAGGGGGTGTGCAGGTGGACCACTACACCGGGGTTTCCCCTACTCTCCTACTCGTACCAGATGAAATATGTAAATATTGGGAAAGCTTGGTTAAGTTATTGTGGAGAGGCCATGTTAGACTATTTTATGTCTACAATACAATGATGTCTTGAGAATGAGATCACTAGTTCTGCCATCGTCTTTAAAATGCAAAGAATCTATTTGATTTTCATTATGCATGAAGTGAGAACATCATTGAAATGTGGGAAATTACAAAATAATTTGCCCCTCAAAATCCAGAGAATTGGCATGTTAGTTTGTATATCCAACCCTCCTTTTGGCTTTCCTAGCACCCTTCTATAAGACATTAGGAAATCAATTTGACTCCCCATAAATGTGGCTTCAAAAGCATGTATCTTGTGATTTCTTTTATTCTAATTTCTAATTTTTTCAAAGTTAAACTTGTGAACAAACTAAGACCTCTCAGTGAAAGAAGATATGGCCTATCACAGTGAAAGTGTTCAATTACTACAGTTTTTATATGAATTTGGTCTTTTTAGGTTGCCATCTGTGTATTTATTTGCTGAAAACGGTTTGACTGTATTTCATCGCTTTGATTTTCATCATATAAGTTTAATTAGTTTAGGGATGATCAAAACAATGCCAAATTTACAAATACCTGAGAGAAAGGGGTTAAAATAATTATTGTCATGAATTCCCAGGAGAGAAGATGACTTCTCAACCCACCTTATGAGGAATCATCAATGATTTTAATATGTGATCATACATTCATTATCACAAAGTTTGGATGCATTGCCAAGCAAATCAGGAGATCAAGAAGAATTTAGATCTTTATGTAAAAATATTTATTGAATTGATGCAGCAATCAGTATAGTATGTGACTATGAGTATCCACGGTATTGTGCATGATCTGCCAAAGAAGAAACATTGAATACTTTACCGGTAGTTAAAATGTTAGTGTAATTTGATACTTTTTTTTATTTCATTGTATTGGTGATTTATTTTCATTTAATAAAGAAACTAATTTTTTGATGCAGATTTAAAGGATATTTAGATTTGATTGAATCATTGAGTTTTGTGTAGCAAAATAAGAATTTGGTCAATTATAATAATTCTCACCACATATGATGAATTGATATTCAGGTCAATGTCAATAATCATACAATTTATTTTAAAGTGATAGATTTTGCCATCTTTTTAATAAAATCTGCAATCTACAAGGGATTGTTGGTTTTTATAAACACAGACATAGGTCAGATTGTATAGCCTTAAGACTAGGGTAACAATAACAATTCCTTGATTACTTCTCAATGTTATACAAACTCATCAATATATATATATATACATGTATATATTATGTATATATATATACCTTTGTGATATTTCACAATTTTTTTGTTTACATTTGATTACTAATCTTAAAACTGGGGCACACTTCTAAAACAACATATGCAGCACATAAACAGAACTACATATGAGAGAAATAAAATATTGAGAAAAAAAATAGAAAGAGAGAGAGAGAGAGAAGGAGGTAGATGGAAAGCACACTTGACGAAAAAGAAAGGATGTAGATTGTGAGAGCGAGAGAGCGACAGAAAAATAAATGAGAACCGATAATCAGAAACAGAAATCATTTATCCTTCTTCAACAAGTCTTGGAGCATCTTTGCATTGTACATCTACTGCGTGCACCTTCAAAATCACAAGTCCCTCGAACACATTCATCTAACAAAAGGAAACATGAACGGATCCTCTCCCATGCCTTAATTTTCTCACGCATGCTCTTCTCAATTAATTTTTTCGATCAACCCATCTTACAATACCAAAGATGTAAGGATCTTAGATGATACCACGACTATTTCTATACCTACCATCACCTTAAATCCCAAGGAAGAATTGATTTTTGTTTTTTGTAATCCGCTCGGTGCAAGAGGACAAACAGGTGTGCACTAATGAACCCTCAACTTAGGTTAATTCTACCTCTTTGACCAAGTTCTCTTACAATCGATCTACAAATCTTTTGTTTGTCTACCTCAATGGGGGGATCTTGGACCAATTCTCTATTTCGTGCCTAATTCAAATAAAAGTATAATCTGTTAAGACCTGCATTGTGAATCCTTTTCAAAAGATGAGCTTTTAAGAAGGAAATTCTTCAGAATGGAGGGTATTTTGAATTGACCCTTGAGGTTAAGCATTAAACGTGCACGTAGGTAAGGGAATATTTTTTTTTTGCAAAAATGGAGAAGAAGGGGAAGAATGAGAAGAAGAAGAAGAAGAAGAAGAAGAAGAAGAAGAAGAAGAAGAAGAAGAAGAAGAAGAAGAAGAGAAAGAAGAAAGAAAATAAGAAGAAGGAAGAGAAGAAGAAAAAGGAAAAAGGGAGAAAAAGGAAAAAGGAAAGAAAAAGAAAGAGGAAGAAAAAGAAAGAGGGGAAGAAGAAAAAAAGAGGAAGAAAAAGATAGGGAGGAGGAAAAAGGGAGAAGAAGGAGGAGGAGGAGGAGGAGGGGAAGAAGAATCCTTTGGCACGACATTGATCTACATTTGCCACACTCAACCCAGGTGATGTAATGGGAACCTGGCAGGAATTAATTCCTTGAAATGCTAGAGCGCTGTAACGACAGCTAGGCTAAAGACGGCGTAATAATAAATGCGCCTTGGAATAGAATTTCTAGATAGACGGCGCTGTAGAAATGCCAATTATTATTATTATTATTATTATTACGAGAGTGGAATAGCAGTAGGAGAAAAATCGAGCAGGAGAAGAGGAAGAAGGAGAAGGAAATATAAGGAGCAGGAGGAAGATGAAGAATGATAGATGAAGACTGTACTGTTCATTTCGGGTCCATCTCTTGCATTTTTTCCCTGTTGGTATTGATAAGACATTGTTGGCATGGCACAGAAAACGAGCAAGGGGGTACATGGTAGAGAGAGAGAGAGAGAGAGAGAGAGAGAGAGAGAGAGAGAGAGAGAGCAATGCTAAAAATGACAATGCGAAAGAGAAAGTGAAAAAGAGAAAGAGAAAGAGAAAGAGAAAGAGAGAAAGAGAGAGAGAGAGAGAGAGAGAGAGAGAGAGAGAGAGAGAGAGAGATGTTGTACTTTGAAGGCGTACTTATACAAGCACATTTTCGCCATTTTCTTATAATCTTCAAATATAAATCAAATTTTCTTGTAATCATTGTATTAAAAAATGCCTGAAATCCACCTTTACCAGTATGCCATTATATTGTCCTGCTATTACTTTTTGTTTAAAGGTAAAGACCAGTTATGGTCATGCGATTGCATTGTGAAAGAAACGTTGTGGAATCGATCAAAATGATAAGAAATTTGGCCCATTCTTCGTAAAGTTACAAGCACTATACACAGAAAGATGTATATGGGACTACCCTATATCTCTCACAGATCATGAGAGAAACAAATTTACCAAATATATGAATTAGTAGGCGGTTTCCCGGCAAATTTTGTATCATCGTGTATTAGTCAAAACGTATTCTTTCACGTGATTAGTAATGAGAGCTTCCATTTCATTTTTTGAAATTGGGGCGTTTCCAATACTGGTCTTTACCTTTAAAGCAACGATTGTACGATCCATATCATTATTTGTTTCTGAACACTTCAGTACACTTCCGACTATTTTAAGTTGTAAGATTGTAACGTGCTTTCGATCTGTGAATATTTTTGAGGATGAGGATGGATTTTTTTTCCTTCTCACACATCTGATTTGACAAGGGATGTCAATGAGCCTACCTGTTTAAATCATGCATTCATGCTTATAGCTCATTCGCGTGAGAGAGAGAGAGAGAGAGAGAGACGAGGAAGGATTTTTTCTTCTACTCAAACATCTGATTTGACAAGGGATGTCAATAAGCCTACCTGTTAAAATCATCCATGCTTAGAGCTCATTCGCGTGAGAGAGAGAGAGAGAGAGAGAGAGAGAGGAGATAGGCTGTAAACAAATCCAGTGATTGAAAATTGGTTCTTTTGGTGTGATTTCTAAAGATTAATCCTCTATTCAAATGTGGATGGATTAATGAAGATTAAGATCAGAAATGTGACAATAAGGCAATCAAGGATTAATTGCTAGAACAGGTCTTTTCGAGGAGATGAGGGCTATAGGTAAAGCTCAATGGTAAAGCCTAGTCTTTAAAGGGGAGGGATTTTTTGCTCTTCGTATGATTATAAGATCAACCATGATCATGACAGGTATTTAAGATACTTGGTAAACGGAAGGGGAAGATATCCGATTTATATATATTTTTTTTTAAAATTAAAAATATGTATTGAGTCACCACTAGAATGATTGTTTTTATTTGATGAAACGTCTCTATATCCATTGACTAATTGATGGAGTGCATGTCATCGTGGTAGGTCAAAATCGAATCTACGATCACTATCTCCCTTCTTTCGATCTAATAAATATATTTCATTCCCACACAATATCCTTCCTTCGCCTCTTTCTTCTTCCATAAATATGCCTCGATCTCTCGATTTTTCTCAATTTTTCTCTTAATTTCTGTCGACCTCTCTCTCATCCTACAATAAGGCCCCTCTTGATGTGGTGTCCTATTTGCCAAAAGAAAGGGGGGGCGGAAGAATCAATATTGTTCATATTTCCATTTTTTCGATGCATTTTCTTCTCTTTGCTCAATAAATTTAAGGAATTTTCATTTCGACAGTGGTCTGTATTTACAGACTACTGTGGTGAAAGCACACTGGTCAGTGTGTGTTGACCACGGTCATTGGAATGGACGAAGGGAAAGCGGGCATTCTTGACCATGGACATTCACTGATTGTTGTAGGATTAACTTATCGCCTTCGATTATTTACACAACATCTCCCACCTTAGGTCCCACTTCACATTTAAAACATAATTCGCTGCTCTTTTAACGTGTATAGTGTGTTCATAGATATATTGCGTTGTAACTTGTTTACCGATCCAATCCTTGTCCATGCGATTGGAACTAATTTCAACGTGTCGATGATATAATTTATTGTGAGAGACGGAGAGGGAGAAAGCGTTCAAATATTAACAATGTATAAAGACAAATATTGATTATCTTAAGATATCATATGGGGCAACGCTGATAAAAAGGAAGAGTATGCATATGGTAACAGGTAGGTTTATCCATAGACGTAATACGTCTATGGTTTATCACAGTCATACGTTCGTATTGCATCTTAATTTAGGGATGTTTTTGTTATGAAAGTTATTTTATTGTTCATTCAATGCACAAGAAATAAATAACCGAATGATAACATATAATTTGTCATAATATTACAAGTTATTAATAATAACTAATAATAAAAACGTTAATTATAAAGTGCTTACCACCGAAGTCTCTAAGCGCTATACACACAAAATAGACTGATATACAATTACATCTTATACAAAACTAAAAATGCAAATAGTACAAATTACAATACATATGGAATACACGTCAAAGTGAACAGAGTTAATTACTTACATTACTTTAAAATAAATGAAATATGTATATAACAGATCGCAATTTTTTTTACATTTCAAACTAAAACAAATCCATAACAAAGCATATACGTTTAGTTACTAATTATCACAGAAACATAACAGAATATTGAGGAGAGTGACATCAAAAGAATGAAAAATAGAGAGGACCCCCATATCACAAATAAATTTACCATCCTAACTATTATTTGCTTAAACCATGGGGCTGTCCTCGATACCACGGATAGTTTGGCAAACTTTTTCACGTCAAGTTTTCAGTATGAATGGGGCCATCGTTCTTGAAACAGCACCCTGCAGGGAGTTGGTTCCCATCAATGCCCCTCTTACATTAAACAATGTACCATGTAATCCTGTGTTCTATGGTTCAACACACGTGTAAATTGATAAGGCACTTCAAACAGGACTGTCATAGAACCTGGACGTGTTATGTTGTTGACTTCTCGCTTTACGTACGTAGCAACCTGCTGCATCTCTCATCATTTTCTGTTCATCTCAAAGAAAAAGAACACCTATCAGTCTGTTTCCTGACATTACATCAATGCAGATGAAGAATATTTTTCTTTGATTCTTACTCTTGGGAGTGTCTTCGGCAACTCTCCGCGTGTTCTAAAGTTGCTGAAACTATTCTTTGATTACCCCATGGAGATCTTCGGTTAAGGTTTGGCGCGCTTGGAAACGATTGTAAGGGGGAAACTTTTGAAGTCGTCTTGAGGACCACCACTGGATTATCTTCAGATTTTCTCACCTGAATACTTGAAATCAAGAAAGACTTGAAAACTATCAAGATCAATGATCAGACGTCACCTTTAGTTTGAACTCGTGACCACGGCCCGGCGTGCTTGGACTGCCGCTCCCTAACGTATAGCGAATAAGGTCGTGGTGAAAACATCTTTCTACGCTATCAAGGACAATATTATAACAGCAGATATCATAATGGACCTCTCCTTATTCTTACCAGTTATTATCATATTCACGGAAATTCTCCTGACTTTCTGCTCAGAAGGTAAGACCCTAATTTTATCTTGTAACTTGTTATAAGTTTCAGACTGCTTATTGGAATTTACATTTTTTCATTTTGTCTTTTTCTTGCCGTTTTTGAGTTGGTTTTTTGTTGCATTTATCACGGTTGTTTTTGTGTGGGGAATTAAGTGGATATTACTCCCCCCCCCATCACTTTTTAATTTCTGTATAATTATATAGGGGACAGTAAGGGATTGGATTGCCTTAATTAAATTTGTAACATAACATGTTAATATTTATACTTGTCGTGAAGAAACTGAAGGTGAAATTAGAATTAAGAATGCGCCTTTCCAACGTCCAACTGACTATTGGCGTTTACAAGACATGATATTTAGAACTACGTGTATTAAATGGTTTAAGCACCATTGATGAATCCTAAAAAGAATATAATCTTGTTTATGATCTGGCGTGTACTTTTTTTTTATTGGACTTTTTGGATTCAGAAGGGGAGAGAGAGAGAGAGAGAGAGAGATCATGCTGCTTAGAATATTGTTCCGTTTTCATTTCATTCTCGATTAAACTTTAAAGAATACAATGAATACATATTGTGTAATCGTAGATCCCTAATATACAAAGACATTATGATATTTCACAAACAAAAAACATAAATATAACACAACGGAAATACAGTTTCTTAATTATAATATGGCATGTGTCCAGAGTACATCTCAGACTTGCTCACACCGTACATCCCACCAAGGCGTTTGCGGGCAATTCCCAACACCTTCTTATCCTCAATCATGGAGCCACAAAAACCTATGATGACAGGGCATTTGCATGTGGTGGATCAAAACTTTTGAACGCTCTCCCAGTGTCGCTATACGCTCCATGACTCAAAACTCACCTTTTTGATGTATGCTTCGAGTAAATATGTAAACGTACGTTGTACATTGTAAAGCGCTTTGAGAGGGCCTTTGGTCCTGAAATGCGCTATAAAAGAACGAACTATTATTTTTATTATTAATGCAATACAAAATTAAAGATTCTAAACCAAAGATAAAATATGAGATTAAAGCATTATTATTTTTAATATGCTTTCCTTGCGAAAATATTTCAAGTATATTTTATGCTCACAACACAAATAATGAATGTCATTGTTAACTTATTATAGCACAATCCTCTAGCCGGGTTGGTAGACGATCACGACCAGGGTCTCTCGACGGACGCCGAGGCGAGATGGATGATGATTTAGACATCGTGGATGCTGAACTGTCCGTGGTCATTGGACGTCGTCGACCGACTGATAACCGAAGACCTGGAGATCGTGACATGGCTTTAGCAAGCTTAGAGATTCTCGTAGCTGGCGAAAGGACTGAACAGCCAACAACGACCACAGAGAAGACCAACCATGGTAGGTTTTATTTTCTTCCGTTAGTTTAAAGGAACGTAGTAGAACAAAAACAGCATCAATACAGGTTTATGTCTCATCGAACTTATGCTTCTTCACTTTGTGGATGTGTAGCAGTGAAAATAAAATGATATTTGGTATACTTAATACATTCGTTTTTATTCAATCCCCATGACATGAGAACAGAAACAGAAATCAAATGCTGATGAATTTCCTGCACGATATTTAAGATTTCCAACTTAAGGTTCCCCTACTTGTTTTTTAGAGGTTGAGACAGATAAAGAATGACATCATGTAGCAGACAAAACAAAAACACGTACATCAACCTTGCTAGATATCACTACTTGTATACGCGTTTAGGCCATTAAAAAATATATACATGTTTAGCGTCCGCGCTCGCTTCCTTTTTTGGGAGCCGCCTCCTATTTATCTTCTTTTTTTTTTTTTTAAGAAAAAAAACATGAAAAACATTGCTAAAATGGATCTATTTCTGATTTAAAAAAAAAAAAAAAAAAAAATTGTCGGCGGCCATCTTGAAAAATAGCTCGACTGTCAGGGAAAATTTACCGAGCGGCCTTTTTGTAAGAAAAAGAAGAAAAAAAGGGCCTCCTCCTTCCTATTTTTCGAAAAAACAGGACGCTAAACATGTTTTTTTTTTATTTGGTCTTATTGGTCATCCTGTAAATGACTAACTTATATCGCTTTTATTTTCCCGTGCTTGATTTTAATACAAAATATTTCACGGATAAAACCAAGATAATATAGGGGTAAATAGTATCACACTTTTATCTTCTAACAAAACAAAAAACATAACATACAATAAGGAAACAACAGGAATGTGCTAAAACTACTAAGGTATTACCAAAGATTGCGCAGATCGTATAAGTAGTAATACGGGAGATGAAGAATGATTTTGAAATACTTCAAAAGTTCAAACAAGATTCTAAATTCATGTTTGACGATATAGAACATATATCATGACGTCACTATAAGTCCATGATTTTTCTTCTTTTCTTTGTTATTGTTTGTATAAGAAAGACATGGAAGTAACGAATTGGTTGGGATTTTATTTTGGGATGGATTCGTTTAAATTTGGGATGGAATTCGTTTCTGTATCTGTTTCTCCTCTCCTTCTCTTTGCCGTTTAAAACAAGATATCTTGTAAGAAAATCAGAAAACTCATGACTTATTCACATGATTATCCATTATGTGCCAAGTATGAACGATTACTGACTCTATACGACAAATATTTCATAAATCGGCGATAATTAATCTTCATCTCAACGTTATCTCAAATTAATACACTTGGGGATCCGCGTGTAATACATTCATTCTTGTAATATATCCTCCCTAGTCCCTACCAAGTTTCTACAACACACAATGTCATATAGGTCCTCCTTGCGCCTACCGGGGCGTATAACAGCACTGTGAAGCCGTTAATTTCGCTGATCGTTCATCCAAGTTCATACACAATAGAGTGTATTGTTAGGCGGGTCTTACTGGCACAATAGGGGGATCTGTTTATTGTCCTATCTACATCAGTAATATAATAGGATGGCTTAAAAACTATCAAAGGATTTGGGCTGGTGAAAAGGAGTGAGAGATAGTTTAGGGCGATCGAATGAAAGGTCTTCTTTGGGGGCCATTGCTATTTTCAGCGATCCTATAGGCCTGTAGGAGTTACGTGAAATAACTACGTAAGACGAATAAAAAAAAACACACAGCTGGTCTGCATACTATAGGCGTAGGCGTATATGATTGGAAACAATCGTTTTCCAAGAAACTTGAACTTGCATTGTAAGCACGCATTTTCACTGATAGTCTTGATTTTGAACTCATTCGATGAAAGTAATGACAATGCGGGGATCAGTTTTAAGTTACTGGTACATGATTGTGTGTATTCCCTTCTCTTATCCAACCACTATATTCCAGACATGTGTATTCTGTCCTGTAATTGCTTTAGCTTTGTAAAGTTGTAACATGTTGATTATTCTGTCATTACCTATATTGCTGTCTTCATCTGATATGAAACTATAGCGCATTACTTGCATAAATTATTTCCTTTATCACTGATGACATCTGTCATCATTATACTAATAGATATTGTCCTGCGCTATGTGATAGTCATCTTCAATGTAGGTTTTCATTTCCCATGAAAAATATGGTTCTCCCTGACACCCCCCCCCCCCCCTCCCCCAGAAAATTGCTCGTATATGAAGTGAATTCACCGGGCTAAGGTTTCTTTTGGCCCTATTTAATTCCTAGGCGATGATGACCATTGTTATTATTATTATTTTTATTATTATTATCATTATCATCATCTTTATTAATATTATTAATATTATTCTTTCAAGTGCAGATTTGAAAGAGCAATATTATACAGGTATCAAAAGTGTATGATATGCCGACTATATATTCTAATGCTCGTGATCGAGCCTACGTTACTTACTCTCTATTTTATCTTCCTCCTATCTTCCCATTCCAGCTACACGGCGCCCTCTGCCTCTATGTCAGAACGGTGGTATCAGACTCCTTGGTAGTTTCTGCTACTGTCCTCCCAAGTTCATGGGAAGATACTGCGAGATCTACCGGTATAACAGCAGCTGCGGACGCGTACCACACGGAAGATGGGTTTATCTGAACTGTAATAGCTGTCATTGTGTGGCTGGTGTGCTCAAATGCCAACCTCATCCTATGCCTGGCTGTGGTATGTTGATATCAAGATAATCGAAACACGATCGCAAAGACTTTCGGAAAATCAACTCAAAAGTATCGAAGCTGTGACGTCATTAGGAGCCAGAGCATATAACACTGATCATGAGTTTATTCAGATAGTCATATCTCAGCCAAAACTTAAAGCTTATCTGCCATAGTTTACAGGATGGATTAGACCGCCCTACAAGGTCACTGGACAGGTGGTTTTCTCATCAACTCAGCTCTCAGTTAACAAGAAAAAGAGGATCATTGGGGACCAATGGTCACCGATTAGGCATTGTTTGTTGTATAGAGGGCGCAAGTAGCTACAAGTAGTGCAGTGGGCCTTTAATATATTCAATTGGTTTTCGACATTCAAACATTATTTTCGATGCTCTTTCGGAAAATGAAGAAAAAATTGAGAAATTCTGAAAATAGATTTTTGATGACGTCATACTTCACCACTCTATAGAAATCATGTTTTGATTATATAATATGCCATTGTAATTTTCGCATTTTTTAATATGCGATGAGGCTCAAGGCTATTAAAACTGCCTTAAGGAGATTTATGGGAAGTCTTGTTGATAGCGTTTTATCCACACTACAAGTATAACAAACTTTCTGTCAAGTTTCTTCAAGATCGAAGCGGAATCAAGCTTTAGATAGGTTAGTGGGTCTCAATACTGACTGTCTGAAGATGGCAAAGAAAAATCTCCAATAGTAGACAGTAAGATTTTGATTGGATTTGATTCCATAACAGGCTTAGTATACTTTCCCCCGAAGTTCAATGTGAAGGATAGATATGGTAACTCTTTTATGCATATTTAAGAAATCAACTTGAAAATAGGGGTAGACATAAGGCGTTGTTCACTTTAAAATGAAATTTCCAAGAAATTTGAGGTATTTGGACATACATGTATATGTAAAACCTTAGGCTACATATATATATTATACATACAATGTAAAATCTAATTTTCCCTCGTAATTTTGTCACACGATATTTTACAACATTCTCTTTTCTTACATTCTCTTTCAGATATTAAAGAAGAGGAGCAAACCACAATCTCACTACCCGATAAGCTACCAGACCTTGATATCATTCTTAATGATGATGACGATGATACTCACTTGGTGTTGGCGTACAACAACAGCGCCCCCAGACGGTGTTATCATACCGGGACAATAATCTCATCGTTGATGGCGATATTGTTAATAAGTCAGCTTCTCGTCAGAACACCGGATAGATAGTAAATCATGTAGTCTATAGAGAGAACATTGTAAATAGATGTAAAAAAGAGATGATTTTATCGTAAAACAGTTTTGTGTATCATTATTATGAGGAAGCATACTTATTTTTTTTTTTTGAGGGGTTGGGGGGGGGGGGGGGCTCTGTCTTTTAGATCTACTTCCACCACCCCTCGTTCTATTTCTGCCATCTGTATCTCTCCTCTATATAGTTGTGTTCTCCATATCTTCTATATTTCTCCCTTTCCCCCTTCTCTCTCTTTATCTCTCTCCATCTCTTCTATATTTCGCCCTTTTCTCCATCTCTCTCTTTATCTCTCTCTCTCTCTCTCTCTGTGTTCTTATCTGGTTTTCCTCTCTATTTCTCCTCCAATCTCTATCTCTTCCTCGCTCCATCCCCCTCCCTCTTATCCTCTCTCTCTCTCTCTCTCTCTCTCTCTCATTCTCCCCCTTTCTTCCCCCTCCCCATCTCTCTTCCCCCATCCCACTCTCGCACGGCTCCTTTTGATCACGTACCATGGCATTTAATGAGGTCCGAGCTCGGATGAGACATGACATCAAATTTCCTGTGCTGTCCAGGCTTTAGAGACATGATGTCAAGTGATTGCATTATCAGTATGTTAGCTGTCCCATGTCACCGATAAACCCGACGAAAACTGCACAAAATATAAGGTCCGGATTGGTTCTGCAGCCAAATTCTACTTTCAGGAAAGGCTAAATTGACCAGATGATGTTCTTGACATTAGCAACAATAATACTGCTCTTTCATTGTTAAATTATTCTAATAAGATGCAATGTCTTGAAAAACAATATTTATGTACATGGGTAGGAACTTTGTTGATAGGTTGAACAAAAAGCAATTTCAATTGGAAAGCAATGATTTTGAACCTCTCAACATTTCCAATTTACGATGTTAAATCATGCTTCCCTCTTTAAGTTTCAAGCTCATGGCATGGCAAGCGCAATGTGCTCATACATGTACAACAACCATTGACACATTGTGTGTAGACTATTTCAGGGATTGTCTCGAAATAGTTGAATGAGCTTTGTTTGTATTTTCTTAAACATTTATATTTAAGTTATATTGGCGTTTTGTTTCCATATAACCTAATGTGTTCATGTTTATATGGAGTATGGAGCCCTCCTCTTTTGCGTCATTTTAGTGTAAAGAAAAGATATGTACATATGAATTCATTTTCTTAAGCTATATCTTCCGTGAAAACATTTATTATATTGCATGACAATCTTCCTATTAATGCAACTAATACTATGGGTATAATGAATGCATACATTTTGTTTGTATATACCTCTCAATAGCCAATAAAGATGCTTTAAAGGACGTTTTACTAAGTCCGAAAATACCAAAGACACCAAGTTATTTTGAGGGAATGAAAGTGCCGAGATTCCTCGTATCGTCTCTTCGTTTTAATGTTTTATGTACTGTTCCTTACACTTTTCATAAGCTTTATGGTCACGGTTGGTGAAAAAAGTTATTGTTTTTTTCTTTCTTTTTATCGATGTGTTTTGTAAGAGACTCAATGCTGATTCTGAAATTTTGTCAAAGTCGTCCAATAAATTCACAGTGCCTTTTTTGTTTTAACGTTTAAATTTCTGTTTGTTTGTTTGTTATTTTGTTTGATTGTTTTTGTTGAAAACATTGTAGAGTTAAATTAAGAATTAAGCCATGAAATTTGATAATGAGTGGATAATTCCTGGAATCGTGTAATCACTAGGAGTTGATTGCAAGATTACTGAAAGCCTGCATGGTAAATTTCAGAACAAAGTGATGAACGAACTATAGGTAAGTACTTTTCGACAAAATAATGCACCCCTTCTTTGATCTCTGAAATGACATGTGCGTGTAACCAATAGGTGGGGGAGGGGGAGGGGTAGTAGAGGGGGTGGGGGATGAAACAAAATCAGTAGCCCTTTTCCTTGGATGAGAATTTCAAAAATTACACTCGGGAACAAAAGATATTGGTTCTAGATGTACACAATTTATAGTGTACAGCTGGTAGTATAATACGTAATGTCAATCAGAGCTTATGATATATTATTCCCTCTCTCTCTCTCTCTCTCTATCTCTCTCTCTACCCCTCTTCCGTTCTCTCAGTCTCTCCATCTCTACTCTCTCTCTCTCTCTCTCTCTCTACCCCTCTTCCGTTCTCTCAGTCTCTCCATCTCTACCCTCTCTCTCTATATATATCTCTTCTCTCTCTCATTCTTACCTTTCTCTTTTTCCTCTCACTCTTTCTGTCTCTGTCTCCCTCTCTCTTTCCCGTTCTTTTCTTTTTCTTTCACGTTGCCCTCTTTCATCCATCCCTTGTGTTTTGAATATTATGAAGTACCCCCCTCCAGTCTGCCACTGTATGAAAAGATGAAAGGTCGCCTCTGCTCTCTTGTTCATCATGAGTTCAAGTCATTCTCTGTGAGGTTGCCCTTTCAGAGCGTAACCACATCAAATAACACACCCTCAGTTACATACAATTAACTACAAAAAATATCTATAAATTTACTATCAGTCTAACGAGTCAAATTTTGTTCACCATATTCAGGATATTTGGTACAAGAAAAAGAAGCATAACTACCTATAGGAGTGGTGATATGTGGAACAAATGCATGGCTTGTTTTTTGTTTTTTAATTTTTTTAATTAAGATATGTTTTTGAGTGAACGCAGTTAATCGAGCGTGTATTATTGGATATGTACGCATACTCTGGAAGGGCGACCACACATGCTATGGCTCTATCTACCATGAAGTAGGGTAGTCTTAACAATATGAGACATCAGTCTTGAATTAGCACTCTTTAGGAAGCTATCAAATTCCAAGTATTATGATGTACAATTTGTTTCACACTTCGATAAGGTATCTTGTACTTTTTACATCAGTTGGCTTATTGAATATCCCAAATGCCTATTATTGTACTGGGAATTAGCATCAACAGGCCTCGGTGTTTTTTTATAATAATAATAATAATAATAGCTCGTTCTTATATAGCGCTTTTCAGGACCGGAGGCCCTCACAAAGCGCTTTACAGATAAGTATATTATTACCCCGGTCATTGGATTCAGGCTTACCCGCACACAATGTATGCACATTCTCCACTCCCTGGGGAGTATTCCAGCCAGGCGTCATTTTTACATGCGCACACTTACTAATCTAGCCACATTAGCTTTCTATTTAGTTTACTTTTTCTTGTAATTTTGTTCACTGTTTTTTTCTCTTAATATTATTGTTTATTAATAATGTGTTACTATAATTTTTTTTATATGTCTGGTCATGAATGCATATTTGTTTTTAAAGCCCTATTGCACTACTTATAGCTACTTGCGCCCTCTATATAGCAAACAATGTCTTATCGGTGACCGACGGTCCCGATGGTCCCCTTTTGGTTATGCTATACTTGAGAGCTGATTTGATGAGATAACCACCTGTCAGTGACCATGCAGGGAGGTCTATCCCTCCTGGCCAAACTAGTACAGATAGGCTTTAATGAACCTCACTCCGTGGAAATAAACTTGAAACTTGAAAATGTCCCAATCTCATGTATATGACATGTTTCTAATGATGAATCACATGTCAACACAATGCATACTAAATTCACAGGGGTCCAGTATCATTACCTCTCCGTGAAGCACAAACTCAGAGATAACATTGCTTCTTGATCTTTCATATGAAACATTCTCTCCAGGGGAGGCGAGATGGTAGCCTCCCTCAACATAGAAATAAAAAAATCCACACATTTATAAACTGAAATAAAAAGAAATGAATTTCCTTGATGGGTAAATTTAAAACAAGGTGGGGTGGGGCGGGGAGGTGCGACTTGGGACAGTTTTTTTCTTATCCCGACCTCCCATTCCTGCCCCCCTCCCCGCCCTGAGAGGGTTTACGGAATTCAATGTTCCTGGTAGGAAATTAGGAAGGTTGCATCATCTTTTTATTATTTCGTTCACTTTGAGATAGATTTGTAACTTTTTTTAAATCTTTAGAGTGTATTTTCGTCATGAGACATGTTGATTAGAATGATTCGAGTTTGTGTCTGTACTTGTAGACTAGTATAATGTAACTCGTTCAAGTCCAGGACATCCATCGGTCTGAAATTAATGAGTGTCTATTTAATATCACTTTACTTTAATTGTCGCTATCTGCATTTACCTGTAAACCGTAGCAGTCATTAACCTAGATATCAGATAGACAACACACACACACATGATGTTACATCATGATACAGTTCCAACGAACATTAATTTATACGTGGTCATTATCGAAACATTTTCTTCAATCTCTTTCCTTATTAAAAAATTCAAGATTCAAGTTTACTACACTCATAAAAATAAAAAATAATAAAATATATACATGTACAATAAACATAGAATCAATACAAAGTCATAAATGATACGGCAATCAAATTCACAGTGGATGAAAGCAGAAGCCAAAGGCCTATAAAACGAAACAGCTACAAGTTTGATGTAAAGAGAAGGAGAAGGAAAAGAAGTAGAAGAAATAGAAGAAGAAGAAGAAGAAGAAGAAGAAGAAGAAGAAGAAGAAGAAGAAGAAGAAGAAGAAGAAGAAGAAGAAGAAGAAGATCGAATTTTGTGTGTGTTATCTCATTCCAAAAACAGTTACTCATTTATTTACATTGACTATTAGGTACTTAAAGAAAAGGTGTTAATATCAACTCATACTCTATTAGGAAATGCTTAATTCAAGCAAAATTTATGATATTTTCTTCGTAATGATGTTCACAATCTGACTTTATTGGCATCCCTTGTTTTAAGGTTACCCTTCTCATTGAGTGATACAACATGGTTTATAAAGTTTATTTGGGACGTTATCCTTTTTATGAATGTCTATTGTCAGTTTCTTTGATACTTATTATCAGGCGCGGATCCAGGATTTCTTAGGGGTGGGGGCCCAAATTTGAAATCAATTTGAAATTTAGTGTGCTGAAATATGAAAATCGTGCCGGCCAATATTTCGCTCAGTGGGGGGTGGGGGGGGGGGGGGGTAGTGAGCACTAAAAAAAAAAAAAAATGGGCCCTCGAAAATTTGAAAAATTGCACCCCCCCCCCCTTAAGCGGGGGGGGGGGCATCTCCACAAAAAGTAAAAAGTTAAAAGTAACGTTAACAAATGTAAAAAATACACATTTTTTTCCCCAGGGGGGGGGGGGGGGGGGGGGGGGGGGAGGGGCCCGGGCCCCCGGGCCCCTGGATCCGCCACTGCTTATCATCATATGTTTTCTATCTTGCATTCGGGTTCAGTAACCCTTGGGTTTTCATTCGCCCCATGCTATGCTCATTATGAGTGTGAAATGGCGCAGCGGGCAAATGAGCAGAGAAAACTTAGATATCATGAGATAGATAGATAGATTGATAGATGGCATGAGACAAGGAGTTATTAGGCTGTTCTAAAAACAAATTAAAGGTTATCCTATGGATTGAAACAAAGTTGTGTGGAAGCCCAGATACATTGCATTGCTGAATCACTGAAGCACAACGGGGCACATGCACATGGCTTGACCCACATTCGTTCCATCAGCCCGAACATGGTACTAGGCGATTTTGACAACACCTTTTAAAGACCCTGCATCTCAGTCACCCGTAGAAGAAATATCATGAATATGGTATAATAATAAGCGAGTTCGTAAATAGCTCTGGAACGCATGAACCCCAAATATCCACATATCTTAGACACGATGGATACTTCCCACCTGTGCATTATAGAATAATCACTGCCAAAGTGATGGAGGTGCTTCATGAATACCTTTTGTTTGCCTCTTGAGAAGAATACTTCCACATGTGTATCAGATAAATGTACTGTTGGTGCATAAATGAATACTGATTACATAACTTTCATTAGCACGAAACGAGTATATTCGTCTCAATGGTTTTACAATTTGGGTACGAATGACCTTTATCTGCCCATGTGCAAATCCTAATTACGAACTCGCTTATTGAATAAGAAACAGGTTACTCTTTATCAAGAACTAGATTCCAAGGTAATATTGGTTATGACTTTTAATTAGGAGCTACCAAAGTTGGTACACTTTTGTGTATACGCACTGTATACAGCAGCATTAACAACTGATCTATACGATATTCAACGTTTGGACGTGTGACAATAATTTAGTGATGAGCTTTTCGCTTGTATGATTCCATTGCCATCTCTATAGCAACCCGTTATTCACTTTCATACTATCCATTAGGCTGCGTGGATATCAAACGAAAATATTTCATTAATAAATTAACATATAACTAAAACGATTAATCGTCATTAGTCGCAAATGGTCAAAGTAATTATCATTTGGAAGTAGTTGATTGACCATTAAAACTCCGTTATTCATTTTGTACTTGCTGGAAGTCCCCTCCCCTATATTTTTTATTAAAGGTATACATGTATATATATATATATATATATATATATCTACTACTAGTATTACTACTTCTACTACTACTACTACTACTACTACTACTACTACTACTACTACTACTAATACTACTACTACTAATACTTCTACTTACTACTACTGATACTACTACCACTACTACTACTACTACTACTACTACTACTACAACGACAATTACAACTACGTCTTATATTACTATAATGCTGCTTCTACTACTGTTACTACTACCATACCTCTACTACTCACTGCTGCTGATGCTGCTTCTACTTGTAATTCAACATCAATAACAACAAAAACCACTTCTACTATTTATCCTATCATATCAGGGGCGGATCCAGGAATTTCTTCCCCGGGGGGGGGGGGGGGGGGACACACGGGGGATAAGAGGACATATATATTTTTGTTTTGGTCCCCCCCCCCCCAAAAAAAAAAAAATCGCATAGACTCAGCCAGCCGCTGAATAAACGGGGAGTGGGGGGGGGGGGGGGGGGGCAATGGGACCTATATATAGTCATTTTGTTGGTCCCCCCAGGAAGCTGTAATTAATGGAGATCCCGTCCAAGAGGCCCCTTTGAAGTCATCCGTGGCACCGCGCGTCTTTTGTTTCCCCTACCGTAATCCCCTTAATCCCCTCCGAAACCGTACAGCTCCCTAGTAGCACTAAGTCCTCCCTTTCCACACATAGCCCAGCCCAGCGAGCACGGCGGCTTTTGCTTTGCAGGTCCGTACTTGGGGTGAATAGTGGTGATAACTTGACAACTTCTAGCCCTAAATCAATAAATGCGCAAACATTTAACACAATTTCATTTAGTTCTTTAGGAAGATAAACCTTTGGACTACCTTCCTAGCTATGTACAAATTTCGGAAATTTTCGGAAAATATCAAAAATTAGATGAGAAAATCATGATGATGAAAACCTTTCATTCGCTCTAACTCATGATTTCCTTGGTCGATTTCGCTGGTTGAAATGACCATGTCTTCAGTAGAGCTATCCGAGAACGGAAAAAAGCATTTGATGACTAATGGAAAGTTGCATTGGTCATATGTTGTGAATTCTGTATTTTATATGTTATAGCTAAATACATCTTCATTGAACATGACTTAATTTTTCGGTGCCACGCATGGCTTCAAAGCTCGATGCTTGCATATTTTTGCAAAAGAGTGATTAGAGAACTTAGGGAAGCAGATTGCGTTGCGTAACATTTCGTACTATTTGAAATGCCAGAGAGGGACTGTCCATTGATATGGACAGCTGTTGATGGAAATGGTGGCTGGAGAGGGTTACATTTCTTTTTGTTAAGCCAGGTTAATCTTGAATATTTTTTCCCTCGGAAAATTCTTTCGAGACGGTATCTCCATTCATTACAGCTTCCTGGTCCCCCCAAAATCGTAACGACTCAGCCAGCCGCTGAATAAGCGAGGGGGGGGGGGGGGGGTTGCGCACTAATGTTTTTTTTTTGGCCGGGGGCGCGTGCCCCTTGTGCCCCTTGTGCCCCTTGTGCCCCTTGTGCCCCCCTGGATCCGTCCCTGCATATTATCGATATAATGAGACAGCTTTGCTAAATGCCCGTGTAATATCTGATTTCATTCATTCAGCACACGCCAATGTCATACTGTATGTGCTTTGCGCGCGCGTAAGGCATCCGTATCTCTCATGACTGCGATCACTGCATTATGAGATAGAATACCTGTACATCAAACCCTGGCAGACGTACAGCATCCCGCCTTTATTCGAAAGTTGGATTAATCTATTAGAACCAGTTTCGATCTGAAAGGAGCAACATAAAAATAACAACCCGTCCAACATGAAGATGCTTATCTTCAAACTTGCCTTATTACTATTGCTTTCGAACCAAGGTAAGTGTCTATTTTTTCAACTTCATATTCCTGAAAAATCTCTATCGTTTTCTATCAAACGATTATTTTCTACACCACATACAAAGGTTATACATTTCGGAATGTTTATGGCCACATAACCCCCTGTTTATTTATCTTTTGTATTTTTAAAATTCTAGAACAGTATTGTCATTAATTTTGTTTATTAGGGTCTCTGATTAAGGTAAGCATTGTATAAAACGGGAAAGTGACATTTCAAAATAAAATATAAAATACTGTCGTACCAGGTTGTAACTCATTTTGTTTATATTCACTTCCAAGACCTTTTTTGTTTGTTTTTTTTTTGTCATAATATTTCACCGTTATCTTGAAATCATACTACATAATTTTGTCGAATGGTCTTGGAAGATATGTAATAGGTGTTGAGTGATTATTCGATGGTCTTGATAAACTTTCCTCGTATACATGAATTTTATTTACGTTAAACGTTATCATTCTGCAATCAATGTATTGCTACTCGCGGTACAAGCTTTGTGTAAAGGCGCCATTCTGTCTTCTTCATGCTCGTTGTCGTTACTCAACGGGGTAGCCAGGTTTTTTTTTTTTTTGGGGGGGGGGGGGGGGGCTAGGAGGCCCTACACATTCCTGGTACCACAGGCGGCCCCACAAAAAACGAGATAAGTGGAAGTAAGGCTCACTAAATAAATAAAATAATACAGATTTTATGATTTATAGTTACACTGGTTAAATTTTGATTTGCATTGTAAGGTTGAAGTCATCTGTCAGTATACTATTAAAGGCTCTTTTTTGTTGGGGGGGGGGGGGGCTCCACTTTTTCAGACTTCCCACATGCACAGCCGCTTGTTTCTGGTTCCTAAATACAATTTATATTACGGGCAAAGAGAGGTAAAAGAAGATGTTAAAAATCAATTTATTTAAAAAAAGATATCGACCGTACGCAAAGGTTTGTTTCACCCGACGTTTAAAGGCAGGCTTTACTACTTCAGCCAGAAGGGATTAGACCACGCAGCGAGCCAGCGAGGTCACTGTGACAGTGTCTCATTAACTCAGCTCTCATTCAACATAAGAAAAAGAGGATCATGGGGGACCAACAGGCACCGATTGGGGAAGTTTTCTATATAGAGGGAGCAAGTAGCTACAAGTAGGACAGTGTACCTTTAAATACATCAGCATCAATGTTTAATAATAATAATGATAATGGTGGCTTCTTATAATAGCGCACATGACTTGTCCGTCACGTTGTGACGCTCCTGGCGCTGCCCCGATTATTACCCTGGCTTTTAGCAAGGCAGCCACTGCGGCGCTTTAGCATTTCAAGGAATTAATTCCTGCCCATCCATTACCGTTGAGAGTAAGAGTAGGAAGGGTGGATAACAAATGAATGTACATGTTGAAAAAATAATGTGTAATAAAATACATCTGAAAAAAAATAATGCGTTACATGGTTATAAATATTTATCGATTGATTAACCTTAACCTTAGAATTGTCTTGTTAATCGACTCGCGTCTACAACACACGTATACATGAGTGTCGTCAATGCATGGACTGATTATAAATGTATGAGATGGGATGTATGAGAGAATTTAAAAAAAAAACATGAAGAATGAGAGAAAATTGGTTATTAATGACTTGTAATCAACTCACGTTACTGGTCACGTATGGTACACTCATCATAAAGATCATTCGTTTAACACTAATACGAGAACCTTTGGGATGAAAAGGTGCCGAATCTCATTTGCGATGTAATCGGGGTTTTCTCTCAAAGGCCGGCTGTAATAATAGTTATCATTTATTTTGTTCGCATACCAGGAATTGAAAGAACAGTTAATTTGGGTCAGTTTGTCCCATGACATGTTTAATAGATTTTCCCGTGGGTTTCTATATGAATTCCCTCTAATATCATCTTGGCCTGAATTAAGTCTCTTGGAATAACCTTTCATCAATAATTGTGAATACTCTCATTTCCATATACAAAAATCAATGGCCAGTTATATAAAGAAATCCAGATATGAATAAGTTGCTGACGAGATTTTCACATTTTATCTTTTGATTATATATAATTTTAATATTAATGCTTATTTTCTCTGTATACATCACTACAATAACCGTTTACCTTTCTTTAATTTGATTGGCCACATGATAATTCATCTTAATTGTTGCATTTCTTCTTCATAGTTAAACCATAGTAAAACTTTCAACACAAAAATTAGGATCAGCATTACGAGAAATCAAATTTCATTAAAGATCACAGTCCCAAAATAATAATGATAATAGTTTGTCCTTATATAGCGCATTTCAGGGCCGCAGGCCCTCTCAATGCACTTTACAGATTTAAATTATTATATATACTATATATATTATTACCCCGGTCATCGGATTCATGCTTACCATAAATATATTTAGAGTGTATTTATTCTGATGGTACTTAATTAGGAAGAGAAACCAATAAAATAGAAAAAGATGTGTAAAACTGTACTTTCTATCCTCCGAATGATAATTAGTACTTTTTAATGTTCTGATCTCATCCTCGACCTACCAAGTGACTTATGCATTGTTTTTGACGGTCGGTCGGACAAGATGATACGTGTACTTCCAACACACACTCTCAATGCATCGGTATCAATATCAGTATCAGTATCAGTATCTAATTTGTTCAATCGTCGAGCAAAGGCAAACGGGGACATAACAAGTGTGGTCGCCCTTGCAGAGCATGCGTTCATATCTAATAATATCTACTCAATTGAATGCATTCACTCAATGCAGGGGCGGATATAGGGTGGGGGTCGGCGGTTTACGCCCCCCACCCATTGGGCGGTCAAGTGAAGAAGAAAAAAAAGTAAACGGCGCGATTTTCGCAAAAAGCTAGATCCGCCCCTGCAATGTAAAAAAACATCTTAATTAAAAAGCAAAGGGAACATAAGAGTAACTTTCATTGCCGCACCAAGCCCAAGCTTGCATGTTAGGAATTATAAAGAATCATTTATTTTTCAAAGTTTCAGGCTCTCGGAAGTAATACATAAGTATATACAAATTGAAATATCATTTTCAATTTTTAACAAACCATGAACAATTTTTTTAATTTTTGTTATTTATCAGTAATCAATTCAAAATATAACCCAGTGACCTATTAATTACAACTCCTCCCGGAGGTTCGCGAACTAGGTTTATAGGTCCAATGCGTGAAATAAAATGTTATCTTCAGATACTGCAGCTGTCATTTCTAATTTCCGGGCATATAATGTTTGGGCCTTTCACTTTCCATTTCATAACATGACCTCGTTAGGAATCTAATCAAGAGAGTACATGTATTTAATTATGTTTGCCTTCAATTTTTAAGTGCATTTTCTTCGCTCTTGAACGACTGTTCAACAGTGAGGTCAGTGTATCAATGACATGACATAACGTTTGAAGTCCCCTGTTCGCAATTACTTTATTTACGATGTGACATACAAGGATGGTTGACTGGTTTAATCATTACTATTTACTACCCAATCAAGTACCCATCAATAATAGTTTGTCATACCATGGATCCTTCCATGGTCGTACCTAAGATCGGTTCCCGACCTCTACAAATTAATACATTAATGTATACATACAACCAAGGGTGTCGATTTGTATCCGTGGTTGGGGGGGATGATAGGTGCCAAAATATTTTCGGCAATGGATCAAATCAACCAAGAGATAGAATAAGATTTCATTTTAGGGAGGGGGCGGTAGTGAGCACGCGAAGCGCGCTTCCTAGGGGGTTGGGTGCATGCAGGGATCGAGGGGGAATTTCCCCCCTCCCCCGCGAAGCGCGGAAGTTTGACGTTTCATTAAATTATTAGAGAAAGAAGACGATTCGTTGGACCGTTCTCGACTCTTCATCTTTGTTTGAATCAAGTTCCCCTTCCTCCGCGCGTAGCGCGGAAGCTCTGACGTTTCATTAGATTATTAAAGAAAGAAGACGATTCGTTGTACCATTCTCGACTCATAATCCTTGTCTAAATTCAGGTCCCCTTGTCCGCGCGTAGCGCGGAAGCTCTGACGTTTTATTAGATTATTAAAGAAAGAAGACGATTCGATGTACCATTCTCGACTCTTAATCCTTGTCTGAATTTAGTTTACCACCCCCTCCCTCGCGAAGCGCGGAAGCTTTGACGTTTCATTAGATTATTAAAGAAAGAAGACGATTCGTTGTACCATTCTCGACTCATAATCCTTGTCTAAATTCAGGTCCCCTTGTCCGCGCGTAGCGCGGAAGCTCTGACGTCTTATTAGATTATTAAAGAAAGAAGACGATTCGATGTACCATTGTCGACTCTTAATCCTTGTCTGAATTTAGTTAACCACCCCCTCCCTCGCGAAGCGCGGAAGCTTTGACGTTTCATTTAATTATAAGAGAAAGAAGACGATCGTTGTACCTTTCTCGACTCTAAATCCTTGTCCGAATTCAGTTTCCCCGTTTGCCGTTTCATTAGATTATTAAAGAAAGAAAACGATTCGTTGTACCATTCTCGACTCTTAAAGGTATTACAAAGTTTTGGTATGGGGTCTTGAATTTGGTGCAAATGAACTTATTGGAAGCCAATGCGATCCTACAATATTCAGTGACCGTTGTCGCAGTTGAAATCGAGTCTTAAGTTATAAAATTGTAAATAATAAACTCTTTATGTTGTATAGCTCCCTCTCAAGGTCAAGATATTAATATAAAACAATGTTTATTGACTAAAATCGACCGATTAGCTATTCCCGTTTGAAAATTATGTATCACAACTACCTATTGTGAGATTTTCATGGTTGTAGCTATCATTGAACAGCCGTAGGTGCTATGTGAAATTTATAAAAATTTACCGGGAGCACCGGTAAATTTTTATATTCAATTTTTCTCGAAAGTAGGAGTGTTTTAGGGGCTAAACTTTCTAGTGCTTATAATACATCCACAGGGGCATCCAAATATTATATCAAAATTGTAAAGAGTCACTATCCACCCAATTTTCAAAATTTCCCAAAACTTTGT